TGGGATATATAGGTATATACTAACCTTCTCCCGTAAAACAGAAAAGCATTTGCCGAAAGGGGGGTTTATATACCAGAATAAAAAAAATAAGGAGATGAGGTATGATTGCCAATGAGACAAAAAGTTCAAATGAAATGGATGTAAGCAATTATAGGCAACCGTACGGCCTTCAACAATGAGAAAACCCCATACCATATAGTCGGTTATAAAAGGCCCCAAAATGAAAAATATGAAACAATTCAATTGAGAAAACCGACAGCCTATAGCTAATTCATAACAAAACAATTTACGAAAAATAAATAAGATATACACGAACCAACGACAATCGCTGAACTACATGCAGGCTCCTGACTTGGGACAGGCACATAAAGAATGTGGCGGAGTTAAACATGTTTGTGAGCTCTCAACCCTTCCCGTAACCTGGGACAGTGGTTAACAGCACGAACTATAACTATACAGAACCTATCCAACAGTAAAACCCGAGCTTAAAAGGGGCGTTCGTTTGGCTTTGCCGGGTGTGAAAATAGATATTAAATACGCCACCACGTGCAGTCGGAATGGGGACTTTAAATCTGATGTAGGGAAATTGAAATGCTCTCTACACGTTTCGGGTCAAGCTACAACACTGATTCGCCCTCCCTCCTCTTTATTTAATACATTAACCCCTTATATATTGCAGGTTATCGTAAGCTACTATGTGAAGGTGAAACTGGAAGTGTAAGATGTGGAAAGGGAGAAACGATCCGGATAATCCGCGGGAAATATGGTCGGTCAGATGCTGTCACGTGTTGGTCAAAAGGGGATCTAGACGGAAAATGTGTTTCGGAGGATTCCTTGGTGAAAATGTACGATCTATGTAACAGGAAAAACAACTGTCAATTAACTGCCTCGGATGCTGTGTTTGGTAACGCGTGTTCCAACTCCAGCAGTTATTTAGAAATGGAATATTTCTGTGAAGGTAGGTGTGACGTATAGTATGCATATAACTCCCGCAGTAAAATATATGACCCGTCTGCGATAAAAGGCGAGTTATTTTTTTTTGTCTGTGTGTTCTTCAGCGTTTTTGTTCGTCCGTCCGTGTCGTAGCAAGTTGTGCTCTAAGTTTGGTTAAATATTTCATTAAATAAGATAGTTTACTATAAAGTTTTCAGTTTGGTAACATCAACTTGAAACTTAGTAAATGTCCACTATTGTGTGATCTTTACAAAAAGTAAAATAACAAAAATACCAAACTCCAAGGGAAATTCAAAACGGAAAGTCCTTTATAAAATAGCACAATCAAAAGCTCAAACACATCTGACGAGTAGAAAACAACTGTCATTATTCCTTACTTGGTACAGGCATTTCCTTGCGTAGAAAGTGGTGGATTAAACCTGGTTTTATAGCTAGCTAAACCTCTAACTTGTATGACAGTCGGTTGATGTGCTTAATTAGGATTTTGATCCAGATTTCAACCAAAATATCAGTTGTCAGTATCGGCAGGATGTAGGATCATGGATTAAGTACTCATAACTATATATAATTATATGGCCTTCCAAATACCGTTTCGATCCCTAACATCACTGAAGAGACATTAATTGTCGAAATCCGGATATGGTGTACAAATTTTTGAATCTCATGTTTGCGGTATACCTACCATCTTCTCCGCAAGTTTATTATTTTCTGTTTGGTATTAAATTAATAATTAAGATCCATGTTACATCTCGTGATCAATTTATTTGGCAATAGTCAATGGCAGTCAGCAGGGTTTAAGAACATCAGTTGTTCGACCTGTTAGTCAAATGGGATTTGTTAAAATATACTTTTCACTGTTTTGGTCTTTTGGAAAATGTTGTTTGTGCTGTATTGAGCCCTCTCTACCAAGAAATTTGTTTTACATGCACACGTATAAAAATTGCGGTTTTTATCCAACGCAATCATAGGTTTGAACGTTGTTTTCAATTTAGACTTGTTTATATATATATAGTAATACATATTTGGTTCACGGGAGGGGGAAGGGGTTACTTCGATATTTTTTTTGTAGGGACGTGCCATTTTTGCCTCAAAAACCTACCCATTTTAATATTTTATTCACTGAAATTCAGTGCCTATAGTTATATAAATATTTAAGAAAAAATGACCTATACCTATACTTATATACAATATTTTAAATATGACTCATGCTTATATAAGCACTAAATCGATATCATCACTCATAATTTATAAATATACAGCTACCCATAAGTTTTTATATATGAATTGACATCCGGGGTTCATTTGGGAACTGATTTGAAAGGCTAACTTTCAAATGAATTGATTTAATTTAATATAATAGTTGACCATTAATAATGTAAGATTCTCAATAGCATTCTCATATATGATATGTAGATCATACCCCATTTCAATATACAGTTATCAATCGTAAATGCATTTTAGTATACTATGTCATTAAAAAGGAGGGTCGTATTTATATAAAATCTCGCAACATTATGACCCATATTTTTGGCACATCCCCGTATACCCAATAATAGGAAGTAACCCCCCCCCCCCCCCCCCAGTAATTTGATTATATTTTTTTTTTTTTTAAACAAAATCAATGTAAGTACCGATTAAACAATATTTAAAGATTTTGCTACGGCATTAAAAGAGAGACTAAAGATAACAAAGGGATATTCAAACTCACAACTCGAAAACTAACTGACTGACATTGCCATGGCAAATAAACCATAAAAACGACATCAGAACACAAAACACAACAGAGAAAATTGAAGACTTGGCAACACGAACCACACCAAAACCCGGGGGTGGGGGTCTTTAGGTGTTCCTGAAAGGTAAGCAGATCCTGTTCCACATGTGGCACCTGTCGTGTTGCTCATGTAAGTACAAACATGATGGTTAAGAGGACGGGGTCATGAAATTATAATTTGATAACCTTTAAGAACAGTATTATACATGTATGTATATCTATACATAGATTATTTCTTTATTTCTCTAGGAACTGTAACCGTATGTGAAGGTAACGTAACAACGGTTAACTGCCCAGACCACGGAAGGATGTCGATTATAAATGCTAATTATGGACGTCGGAATACAGTCACGTGTCCATATGGAATCATAAGACATAACTTTTGTTTGACAAAGTTTTCGGTAGATGTGTTATTTAACGTGTGTGAAAACAGACAATCCTGTAGATTTGATGCTACCAGTGTTGTGTTTGGTGACCCGTGTCCTCCTACTTTCAAATACCTTGAAGCTATCTATAGATGTTTCTGAGAAAAGACATCCTTTTGAACCCTCTCTGTTGACGCAATCAGCATTGACATTTCTGAAATCTCCAAGTTAAATATTCATACAAAACATTTATTTACGGTAATTTAATTAAAGATTGTTTATGGATTCGACTCTTTGGTTTCGAGCAAATAGGCTACATTAAATATAAAACGAGTTAATTAGTTTATTTTCTTTCATCATACGAACTTGAAAACCAAAATTGATAGGATATATGTGTGCAGCAGTCCATATCGTTTTACTATCCAGATGGATAATATAAAAAGAAAACAAAATGGGGTATGAATGCCAATGGGTCAACTATCCACGAGAGACCAAATGCCGTAAGAGTTAACAACTATAGGTCTCTGTATTTCCTTCAACAATGAGCAAATGACTATTTACTATGTAAATCCTACTTGTTGCAATAGTAGTTAATTTGTTCTCGTCCTGAAAATGCATGAAGTATTTGCTACTGGACATTAAGCAAGTATAAATCAGTTATAATGGTTTGCTTGATGCTAGGTGAATATCCAGGTACTGTACTTATAAGGCATTTGGTATAATTAATTACCTAAAGAATAACTTTGTACTATGTACAATTCTTGGAACTTATTACCGACATTTTACTTGCAAGGAGTGTAGTTTTTTGGATTTGTTTCACGCCGTCACATTTCCATATATTTCTCCCAATGAAATAGCACTTTATAAACTGCGTGCGTCCGAAGCGCCTTCCTGGTTTTACCTTCACCAGGAACGCTCAAACTTGACTGAACAAAATATAAAGCAGGGGATGATATCAAATACATAGAACCGTAAGGGACTCTACAAGAATTTCCAAATTCATCTAAGGTCAGCTTTTTCTTGATGGAGTTGAAACCTTAGATTCTTAATATATCAATTTATCAACGAGGAATTTAAGAAAAGTATGTTATAAATCATCTGTGGATTCTCATCAGTATTTGTTGTATGTCATATCTTGATGCTTTTCGTAATTTGAAGAATTGCATTTAAATGGCTAATCTTAATTTGTAACATGAATGGTAATTTTTCCTTTGATCTTCGAGTGAGTTAACTTCTGTTATTTTTAGAGGAGTGTGTTAATTCATTAACATATTTAATTCACTCAAAACAACGATTTTCGTGAATTAAATATGTTATAAAGGGTGTGCTATATATATAACATACAGAGAAAAAATGACATAGATGTAAGCATTGATTGTTTTAGCTATATTTTAACCAATATTTCATGAACATTTTTAGGTTTGACATATTGTATAAACACTATCATGTTGTCCTCTACATGTACATGTTATTTGGTTATTTTTCTTGTTGAGTTGCTGTCTCATTGGTGTATTACCCCTTTTTCCTTTCTTTTCTTGTTTCGTCGTATTTTGTTTCTTTTTGGCCATGTTATGTCTTTGTTTATAAATGATCATTAAACATACGGTATTGTTTACCTATGTGGAATATGTTATCTCTTTTAACAGTAGATAATTGATCCAGGAAAAAACCGATGTGTCGGAACGACACAAATGACCCCGTCTCAAAAAATTGAAAAATCTGCAATTTCAACAACACATGTGGACACAAACATGCATGGATAGTATCCAGCTCTCAAGACAAATATCAGTTTGAGGAAAAATTTCCTTGATCAATGAGTAGTTAAATTTCAAACTATCAGCAAACAGGAAGTGGGTGTACTGCAGATCTTACAAGATGTGTTGAAACGACATGAAAATTAGCATAGCGGAACGAAACATAAACTTGATCTGTAACTCATCATGGTAGACTCACATATCAAAATCAGTGCAAAATCTGAAGGCGTATAGAAAAAAAGTCCGGATAACTGTGATTTTCAACAATTTATCAAAGTCCAAAGTCCGTAATTTCGGCAAAAGTTAGCAGTGCGGAACGAAACTTAAACTTGATCTGTAACACATCATGGTTAACTCACATGCCAAAAAATCAGCCCAATATCTGAAGGCGTATAGAAAAAATCCGTATAACTGTGATTTTCAACAATTTTCAAATTCCAAAACCCCTAATTTCGGCAAAAATCAGCAGAGCGGAACGAAACTTAAAACTCGATCTGTAACACATCATGGTTAAATCACATACAAAAAAAAACAGCCCAATATCTGAAGGCCTTTAGAAAAAAAGTCCGGATAACTGTGATTTTCAACAATTTATCAAAGTCCAAAGTCCGTAATTTCGGCAAAAATTAGCATAGCGTAACGAAACTTAAACTTGATCTGTTACTGATCATGGTTAACTCACATACCAAAAAATCAGCCCAACATCTGAAGGCGTATAGAAAAAAAATCCGTATAACTGTGATTTTCAACAATTTATCAAAGTCCAAAGCCCGTAATTTCGGCAAAAAATAGCAGAGCGGAACGAAACTTAAACTTGATCTGTAACTCATCGTGGTTAACTCACATACCAAAAATCATCCCAATATCTGAAGGCGTTTAGAAAAAAAATTGCGTATAATGGTTTTTTGCGGAATGACGGAATGACGGAATGACGGAATGATCGTGGATATATTCGGTCAAAAGCTCCTTAGAGCTTGTGTTGTGTCTTTTAACTTATGCCGAATCAAAATAAAGTTTTCTTATCTTATCTTATCGACAGAATGACAGAATGACGGAATGACAGAATGACAGAATGACAGAATGACGGAATGACGGAATGACGGACAAGGGTAAAACTGTATGGCACCGACAACTTTGTTGCAGGGCCATGAAAAAAACAAATTTCGGCTTGAACCCCACTTTATCTTTATTTTTCTTAAATCACATAAAAATCGTATAAAATTTGCTGTTTTAATTATTGCGGATCTATATCTGTCACGTGACACCTGTGTATACTAAATCTTGATTATTTCACACTGATCATAAACTATATCTGCACAGTTCAGACTTAGGTTATTTCCCTTGAATAAGAATTATGGATATAAGATATTTTTTTTAATTCTTCGTCAATTTATCCCTTTCTGCACCCATTGTATAAAAAAATTTAATCAACGTGTGGTTCGTTTGATCTCAGTTCTTCATTGGTTAAAATCCGATTATGACGTCGAATTTTCTTGCTTTCCTCTGAATTTCCTATTGTGACGGCATGAAAAAAGGCGACCATGCCTGATGACGTCACATAGAAAGAACACATCTTTTTGCAGATCATTCGAAAAGAAGGAATAAATTTGCCTGCGTTTTGTTTGAAAATCATTAGAGAAACAGATTCCACCACCAAATCTCGTGTAATACGATATTTATCCACTCTCGACAGTTAAATTTTAAATATTTAAAACGCTCGGCGAGCCTCGCGTTTTAAATTTGAAAATTTAACTGTCTCGAGTGGATAAATATCGTATCACACTCGATGCAGTGGTAGAATCTATATTTATATTGTTGACAAACGTAAGTGGTATATGACTGATGCCGTTCTTGTTATTAGATAACGACTTCGTTAGCTTAAGTTGTAATAAATAAGTTATTTACATATATATCGTCATAACACAATCACTAATTATGTCATTCTTCAAATTTACATAAGATTTACCATATGCAATTTAGAGCCTCCTCATGGGGTTTTTGACTATGTGATTACTTAGCCGTTTTTATAATGATTATTTGATTACTAGACCAACTATTTCATGATTATTTGATAATCTAGGACTGTATTTTTGATTATTTGATTATCTTGTTTAAAAAAAATACTTAATGATTATGTGATTATATTGGCAAAACAATTGTGATTATGTGATCACTTGGACACCCCAATGAGGGGCCTCAATTTACAAATTATCCTCATGTAATTTTACTTTTTTCGCATAAAAACATACAAGTGACATAATAATACACAAGAATATAAATTATAAGAAAGAAAAAGAACATAATTCTTCTTTATACAGTAAATAAAGCATGTTTTCTCTGACTGATTTTCGTCTGGGAGTAAAGCGGAGGATTGGAAACCCTGTCCACCTTTTCAAATGACGATGATAAGTATTACTGGACATTCAAAACATCTGATTCATTGTTTTATTCAAAGTTCTAAAGTATGGAATCATATTCCCAAAAAATTGTTTCATATAGAATCATTCTAAAACAATTGGAAAATTTAATCTAGCATCTAAAAGGATTCTTAGCAAGGAAAAAGGTAACAAAAAAACACTCCGTCATTGTGTTCGGCACATTGCTTTTTTCAGTTTTTCTTTTACAGAAGACCCTAGAAAATAAAATATAAACCTTTCTGGTTACTAGTATTGAAATTTCCCTTTACCCCGAAAAGCTATACGACAAAAGGAGGATTGAAATAATTAGTCCAACTCGGATTCATAAAAACACGGTCATCATTTAAATATATTGTTTAGAAAGAGAAAATCATACTTTGTAAAAAAAAATACGCCCTCTGATACAACCAAACATTCTATGAAACTAACACCACCAAGAAGCTTGATTTTGTAAATGACAACACATTTGTTGCGTTTAAAAGGACTTATCTTTTAATTGGGAATCAACCTTGTGTCTCTTCTTGTCAACTTGCTGCTTTATCCATATGAGGCTTTTTTCACAAATGCGCTTCTAATGAAAGTCTCTCATTTACAAATTCTGAAATTTGGTGACATTGTTGAACACATCTAACTTATCTTGAAATAAAGGATACCAATATAAAGTTTAGTCTGCTACATATCTAGATTAACATTTAGCAATTGATTTCAGAGTCATTGAGAACTTCACATTTCGACGAATAAGATGATTTTAGATTTCCAATTGTGAACTGTCTATTTCATTATTAAAGCGATATTCCAGCAGCGCCTGCATATGGAATATAAATCTCCAAGATGATACGATTTTCGAGAGCTTGTCATTCCTGTCATGACTTTGGTGATAGGAGGTTGCTGCTTACAAAGACGCTTTGAACCAAGGGTTCTAATTGTAAAGTTGAAGTCATCATTTCGAAAGTTTTACGGACGCCACAATAATTTGGTTGACCATTATGAAATAACTGTTTCACAGACTACGAATATTTTACATTTGACATAGCCATAATTTCACCCTCTTCTCCCCGGTTGGAATTCGACTTATAACTGAATTTTTACTCGCCAATTCTGATTGACGGGTGTGGGGCCGGATCAGTTTACCGTTCTGGAAAACACTGGGTCAATCCTTGTTTAGGCCTGGTTTAAGTGATGCCCATACTTTAGTTTTCTGTGTAGTGTTGTGTACTATTATATTTCTTTTTGTGTGCTTTTCATTGACATGTGATTTTTTTATTGCTTCCTTGATATCTTCTGCCTTTATGACATCATACAAATCCATGTTTCCGAAATGGAAAAAAAAAAACACACCAAGGAAAAGGATTTAAAAAAAAGGTTGATTTAACGGGGGTAGCCAGGACTGGTTAAGGGATTTTTAATTCTAAAATACATTATGTTGAAATATTCCATTACAGGAAGAACATACCATTAATGATTACATTATAAAGTTATTTGGGGTATAACTACGAAGCTTTTACATCCAATAATTGCTGAATCTACAAAATACTAAAACCAAAATTGTTATTTAGTTTATAAAAGATTAGCATGTGAATAACTAGTGCTGATGAATATTGAAACATACAGAAAATCCATCAGTTAAATGCAGTAATCAACTTCACTGTGATCCGACTGTAGTATCTGAAATAGGATAAGAAATTTAACAAAAATTCGTCAATTATACCCTGCTAATTATTGTTCGCTCATACGCGCGTTTTGTCTACGAAACGTTATATCTATGCTTTCAATAAATAAATTTAGAATTGAAAGAATGTTATAATGTTACATGAGCAACACGACAGGTGCCACACGTAGAGTAGAATCTGCTAACCCTTCCGGAGCACCCGAGATCCCCCGGTTTTTGGTGGGGTTCGTGCTGCTCAGTCTTTAGTTTTCTGTGATTTTTATAATCAAGCTCTTGTTAAGAAAGTATACGATGATCCTTATGAATACAATGTTGTCTGCTCTATGGTTGGGTTGTTGTTTCTTTGACACATTCCCCATTTCCATTCTCAATTTTAAGTTACTGTCAAATTAAGTGACTGAATGTTTCATCCACGAAGGAATCAACATCCTAGCACTTTTGTGTTGACATGAAATATTATTGATATGTGCTTTTTCTCTAAATTTAATGTTAATAAAATGTTGAATAGTGAACTTTCCATTTCTATGTAGCAACATTCCAGCAGCGCCTGCATACGGAGTATATATCTCCCAGTTGATACGATATTCCATGTCTTGTATTTCCTATCATGATTTCCTTGATATATGGTTGCTGCTCACAAGGAAGCTATTAAACCAAGTGTTCCAATTGGTGAAGTTGAAATCATCCCTTCGTAAAATTTACGGACGCCATCACGAGTTTGTTGACCGTTATGGAATATCCGTTTCAAAGATGACAACGAATATGTTCCAATTGTCGTAACTACAATCCCGTCCCCTTTCCCCAAATGTGACCTACCGAATTAAACTTATCACCGGGTTTGTACTAACATGAGTAACACGACGGGTGCCACATGTTGAGCAGGATCTGCTTACCCTTCTGGAGCACCTGAGATCACCCCTAGTTTTTGGTGGGGTTCGTGTTGCTCAGTCTTTAGTTTTCTATGTTGTGATTTGTGAACTGTTGTTTGTCTGTTGGTCTTTTTACTTTTTGCAATGGCGTTGTCGGTTTATTTTCGACTTATGAGTTTGAATATACCTTTGGTATTTTTCGCCTCTCTCTTGAATTATTCGAAACACCAAGGTTTGTCTACCCCAGACATAGATTGCCTTAGCCGCATTTGTTACAACTTTTTAATGCTATTCAATTTTGCATTCGATTTTGGCTTCTAACTATTTTGATTGACTGCCACTCATGAATCTTATGTAGACAAAACGTGAGTCTGGCGTACCAAATCATAAACATAGTATCTTTGATGAGTTATCACAAGGTTTGTTTGCTTTTCATAAAATTCCCAAATTTGGTATTACTATACATTATTAATAATAAAAAAAATTGTAATCTACAAATGGTAATGAGATATTTAACAAAGTTATTCAATTATCGTATTTCAAATCATAGTACAATGTAATAAAACATTTAATTCACGTCGTTTGCGTGAACACAATATATATGTTTGCGTGAACACAATATATATATATATCACTAGGCTGGCGTTCGTGTCACAGTGGCTTTAGTTTATGGTTAATGTGTTATAAGTTTTATGAGGTCGTTCTTTTGTCTTGACTAGAATTACTACAGTACAAATCTAACAAAAACTATACTTTTGGCTAGCATATTGTTCAGGATATGTTACAAAGAAGCAATATTCTGAAAAAGTACTCTGAACTAAAATAATGACATTGGGTTTTAACACATTTTTATAAATTTGAAATGGATTGCCTTTAAGTAACATAATTAATATTTCCGTATTGAAAGATATATCAGAAATAATTATTTACTTCATAGTAACTGAGAGAAGGAAATATCAGTTTTTGATGAAATAAGTTTTTAAATAGATACGTGATTTAGGTAAATTTAAATATCACACTTAATTCGTGACAGAATACTTTAAACATGAAGATGAATTTGATTTCGTAACAGGTATTAACTAAAGATATGTTCATGACGAAATTATTGCTATGCAATTTCAGGGGCTTCGCGTGCCCTTTTTTTTACAATCAAAGCATAAAGTCAAAGCAAGAAGTCATAAACAATACAGTCAAAATATACTAGATAACAAAGGGAGTTTAAATAATTTATAAGTTACCAAAATATTTTTTATGACTCATTTGATGCCTGTTCCACACAAAAGATTAAGTGTCGGTCGAACGATACTTTTGTTACCTATGTACTACCAGTTGTAACAAACCAGCGGTAGATATATTTTAAACTCGACTCATTGTAAACATATGATACTGAAATCAGTTCTTACCTCCACTTGTACTCTCAATGAGAACACTAACCTCGCCTTCGAAGTTGCCTGTTGAGCAAGTGCTTACTTTGAAGGTATACCGATGTTTTGGTTTCAAATTAACGATCAGTTGTGACCTTTGAGGTGACAGAACAATCACAGGTTTGAGCGGATGCACACCATCTTCTTTTATGTATATTGTGTAGTGTTGTATACAGTGTAACTGTATTGTATGTGGATGTTCCCAAAACAATTCTATTCCTGCGTTATTCTGAACAACGCTTATATTACGAGGTGGCAGAGGCGCTAAAAAGAGAAACCAGTGACTGTTGAAATATTATATAATAGATCTTATATATTGCTGGTGAATTGTAAGTCACTTGAAAAGACTAGTGCTTACGTATAAATATGTTTTATTAATTTCAATCTGCTTTAAACTTATATTTTTTTAATATGATCGACGGATGCAATTTCTAAAGGTGGTAATGTTACAGTATGAAAACTATGAAAGCCACCTTGGATTGTAAATTATCTGTAAAAGTTTACAAAATTATAGTAATTTATCTTTAACATGCTTATATTTATACTGGCTAAATTTATCATAAATGTTGCTCAGACGTATCATTTAAAAAAAAATATTCTCATAACTCCTTCATCAACAGAATCAGCATAGTAACAAGGCAGGCATTAATATTGATTGATCATGCATCTACTTTAAGCTCGTAACCTAACAAATATCACATTTCGCTACGAGTTACTTCGTCTGTTAGACGTAGTATTTTTGAAGTAAAGATTAAAATTGATCACTTATATGAAGGAAGAGTAGATTACCGTGAAAAAGAGGTATAACAAAACATTATTTCTCCGTGAAACAGAATAATATAAATAATTTATTTTCATACTTTTTTGCATATTACATGTTACTGTGTCACTTTTACTCTCTGTACCATTAAAGTCATGTGCAATTAAAGCAAACGTATACACCATCGACGTATCAACAGGCTTCCATGTATAACTACACTCAGTACCCGGTTTGAACTTAAATTCTTTTTCGTTTACAATAAGCTTATATTCCTGTATATGCTTCTCGGATGGAAATACTGGTTTATCCCATGTTATCTTCAAGTGTTTTTCCTCCGACTGAACCGACTTAACCACAGCCACCTTCAAGTTGCATAAAGGTAATGGATCTGTAATGATATACTTATATTTCAATTCAATACTTAATAATTTATTGATTAATAATTCGAAAAATAAAAGTGTGACAATTTAATTGCGAAGAAAATTCTATATTCATGTATTTAAACATTTGACAATGAATCAGTATTACACTATTAAGATGATTGATTTCTTATATTATTGAAAACATATTTGTCGTTACCACAATCCTGCCCTTTTTTCCCCGATTGTGATATCACCGAATGAGACTTATCACAAATTTGTACTTAACATGAGGAGATGACGAGTGTCACTAGTGGAGCAGGATTTGCTTACCCTTCCGGAGCATATGAGATCCTTCCAGTTTTTCGTGAGGATCATGTTGGTCAGTTTTCTATGTAGGATTTCGTAGAATCTTTTATCTTTTCGTCGATCGGCTTTCCGTGTTATTGCAATGACGTTGTCAGTTATTCTTCGAAGTGTTATACCTTTGATTGAATTCTCTTGGCATATTCAGTTCCTTTTTCAACAAATGGATATGTACTTGAATACTTGTGTACAGAAAGTCATTTTGTATGCAAAATGAAATTGTTTTTCAAACGATTTAAAAGTTTGACTTGAAAAGATTTAAGTAATTAAAACGTTTTACATACCTCCCATGGTTATCTCATTTTCTGTACTTTGATGACTTGCGATGGAATCATGAATGATTGTAGAAAGTCTGAATTTGTATTTTGATGAAGGAAGAACATCTGTTATTTTGACCGCATACATGTCATCTGGTTTGTGTTCAACTTTTATGGTCTGCCATACGTCACTTGTACATGTTGTATATTCGATTATGTAGCTTTCTTTTTCGAATAATGATTTTTCAGGTTTTGCCCACATTAATACAACGCATGATTTTTCTACGACGATTCTTATATCTTGTGGAGGTTCAGGCTCTAGAAAATTACATTGTCATTATTAAAGAAAGGGTGCACCAATAATTGTATCTTGCTAACAGCTTTTAAGTGTTACCTGTTCATATACAGGCTGAGTGCATCTTCTTTGTTGCCTTTTAGATTTTTGTATCTGTAGTTAAAGTGTTTTCTGTATTCTTAATCATGTAAAAGCCGAATAAAATGGCTCTAAATTCAATTAAAACTATATCCCTTTAAAATCCTATTAAAAATAGAGAAGAAGATACCAATGAGGCTTTGAAAATCATACGTCCAATAAAAAAAAAGACATCATTTGGAGTTTAGTATGACGTCCATTATCACTGAACTAGTATACATATTTGTTTAGGGGCCAGCTGAAGGACGCCTCCGGGTGCGGGAGTTTCTCGCTGCATTGAAGACCCATTGGTGGCCTTCGGCTGTTGTCTGCTCTATGGTCGGGTTGTTTCTCTTTGACACATTCCCCATTTCCATTCTCAATTTTATCATCAAGGAAACAATAAAAACGATAAAAGAACAGATAACAGTAACAAATCATTACATAGCAAACCAAAGACTGAACAAAACGACCCAAACCAAAAACCAGAAAATTTCATGCTCCTCATGTGACATCCGTCGTTTTGCTCAAGCTAGTAAAAATCCAATATTAAGTCGCTTTCGGTAATCGAAAAAGGACAGGACGTTACGGAGAGCGAAACAGATCCGTAATCATCTGTGACACAGGCATTCCATATCGGTCAACAAACTCGTGATGGCGAACTTTGGAGGGAATGATTTCAACTTAACTACTAGGAACCCTGAGTTCTATAGCTTCCCTGCAAGCATTAACTCTCTATCAAGGAAATAACGATACCAACCGCAAACTCTTGATTATCCTATCAATATGGAGAGATATTTTCCATATGCTGGCGGCGATGCTGGTATGTTTCTACATATAAATAGAAAGATAACCATTGAAAAAGCTGACATTTTGTCGTCAATTTTTGTTTTCAACCAGACCGTATTGTAAAATAATAGATCTTAGTAAAGACATGAGACAGACTTAACTGTTTCTGTGGTAACCTTTATTTCAAGTTCGATTGGATAGACTCGTTCAATATAGTCACTCAAACTATTTATTGAGAAGAACCATTCATATAAATACCAGAACGTGTGAAACAATAGTGCACATATCTTTCCTTTCTTTTAGAGAAGTTCCTGAATAAAGAAACAAATCAACAAAACTAGGAGCATGGTTGGTTCATATATGAATGTCGAATGGTTGTTGAAAAAAAACGCCATTCAAACATTAAAATATGTTGTCAATACAGAAAAAATCTAACTTTTAGACCATTTCAGTCTCATGGATTGAAACAGAGTGGTTTTTTTACAAAGGTTGTATACGATAGACTGACTAATCTTTGAAATGGGTAGGTATTTCCGATTGAACTGATTGGCAGAAGATGCTTACCCTCTCGACACAACCAGTCTCGCTCCATTTGGAGTTTATGCGATTCCCTCAGTTATTGTTTGTAGCCTTGGTTTGAATCTTTTTACTCGACTACCAAGATTTGACCATCGTTAAACTAAACTTTTGTCACCTTTATTCATGATGAACGATCAAGCTATCAAAACATATATTGTTTTCTTTTTAAACGTTTGGCCTCATGCGTCCGTGGGAAATTTTGGTATCAAAAAATAAAATCACAAAAATACCGAACTCTGAGGAAGATTCAAAACGGAAAGTCCCTAATCAAATGGCAAAATCAAAAGCTCAAACACATCAAACGAGTGAATAACAACTGTCATATTCCTGACTTGGTACAGGCATTTTCTTATGTAGAAAATGGTGGATTAAACCTGGTTTTATAGCTACCTAAACCTCTCACTTGTATGACAGTCGCATAAAATTCCATTATATTGACAACGATGTGTGAACAAAACAAACAGACATAATAGGTAAAAATGTCAAAATAGGGGTAAAACAGTCAACATTGTGTTATAATCTTAATCACTATAAAAACAAACAAAGATGTAACAAAGAAACACAAAAAGGCATAAAGACAACGCATATAAGCAAAAATGAAAGACAAGAATACACAAATTTACCATTGCACAATAACACAACGAAGGGATGTACAAGTACCGAGACTCGTCAAATGGATATCACCAAAAATAGACTAAACAGTAAAAGTAATATTCAAAAAGACAAATAAAAGAATACTACAGCACGTTATTAAGATGATAAACAACGTCTGTACTCAGAATCTATACTTCAAGACCATCGTGTATTATTTGTGAAGTTGATACGGAACATTAATCAACAAGGTCTTGGTACCTTCCAATGAACCTTTTTAGAAAAAGGACGAGACGTTCTTTGACATACCTCTGTTTTATCAACTTTCTGCTCAGACACTGGTGATGTTTTACAAAGTCTGAGTAGCAGGTGCAAGCTATTGAATACCGAATAAGTTGGGAAATGTATATCCCATATGCAGGTGAAGTTGGTATATTGCTAGTAAGGTGGGGGAAATTGATAATTTCAAAATTAAAATCGTCTCGTTTGTCCTAGATTCTGGTACTGAGATGACCGTGTATGTTAAATTCGAGGTATAAGTCTAAAAATGAGGCGGAGGAAGCCGTGTCTGTTGTTTCTTTAATGTCTAGTTCTGGGGGATATATTAATGGAACCCAATCAGAAAAGTTTGGATTGTTGATGGACATAACATCATCAATATATCTGAATTTGAAAATTAATGACCTGGCTTCGTTGATCGTCTTGTTTTTGACAAGTGTCTGACGGAACTCCGACTCATATGAAAATAAGAAGAGGTCGGCAAGGAGAGGCGCACAGTTCTTTCCCATAGGAATGCCGACAATTTGTTGAAAAAGTTTACCTCCAAATTCAAGTGTTTTGTCAATAAGAAACTCCAGCATACTGATCACTTGTTCCTCTGTGTAGCATGTTTTACCTTTTTGTTCACTATTTAAAAAATATGCCGTATGGTATCCAAAAGTAATAAATTTATAGCGTATGCTTCCCATTTTTATGTTGAAAAGCAGTGTGGATTATTTCTTTTCGACGATTTTTCAATTTCACATGGGGAATGGTGGTATACAGGGTTGAAAAATCAAAAGTTTTGATAGAACTAACTTCACGCGAGTAAACCGTTTCACAGTATTTCTGAAGACCCTCTTTCACTGCTTACAGAGTTTTTGTCAATCTAATGGACAATTCTTTAGTCGAACATGCAAATGAGCCGGCAATGTACTGTTGTATGTACGGAATTTTGTGAAGCTTAGGTATCCAATACCACCAAGGTAAGTCCTCCGATTTGCTGTTCAATGTAATGTTCATTGAAGTCATGAAGGACTTATGATTCGCCAAAATCTTTTCCTTGTCAAATGATATGTTTTTGTATGTGGGATTACCTGAGTGCTCATTTATTCCTAGTTCTTTTATAAGACACTCGTAGTAGTACGATTTACATACAAAGACAATATTATTTGAAGCTTTGTCCGCAGGAACAACAACATACTTTTCGTGAAGAGATGATGGACATTTCACAGCCTCTTTGTCTCTGAAAACGGACTTTGGTTGATCATTCACACAGTTTTTCAACTAATGAATGCGATGTTTTATCAGAGACCTGATTGTTTTGACCCATTCTGACAAAGTGTCCAGTTCAACTTCTTCTCGTTTAGCCTATTTTCTGGCGTAGTCCTCAATGGAATCCATAATTATTTTGAAGTTATGGTTCCAATTGATGTGTTGAGGTTCTCTTAACTTAGGACCATGATATATCACCTTTCGGAGATGTTCATGTTGAATTATGTTTAGATCCCCAGTAATAACATGGCCAGAGGGGCTGTAAATATAAGGCGAGAAGGAACAGTCACATGTCAGAGGTTTTTTTATGTATTGCTCTAAATCAAGGTCCTTCAATGCTTGTTTATAGTTAAATACTTTGGGTCCAATGGTTTTGGTGTAACTGTTGGATACAATAGGAACAGACTGATTTTGAAAATAAAGTTGAATTTTAGATGTTACCTCCTTGTGATTTAGAATAAGTGCACGGAAAACCGTTTTCCGACTTATGAGTTTGAATGTCTCTCTGGTATCTTTCGTCTCTCTTTTTCATACTTTTCTGGAGGAACATCAGAGTTTACTCTGCCTAAGGTGGTTGTCGTGTTGATGAATGTTTGAGTTTTTTTTCAATCAATAGTAGACCCTTTTTTTTTCTAATTTTGATCCTTTTGTGATATGATTGTAGGCCTTGTTTCTACCATGTTTTGATTGCTCTCTAATATATTTTTCTGATTTGCATATTCTCAAATAACAATAGGAAGCACGAACAGTTTATTTGATAAGGGAACAATGTGTCATTATCTTAGTTTTATTGTAATTGCTGTTAATTATTCTGACAATGTCATCTAAACATTCTCAGGTTTACAAAAGTATGAAAACAATGAGTTTTTATATGAACTTACTGTTCAACACTGTAAATGAAAAGCCTTCGTAAAAGGTTTTTAAATCTCCTAATGTTCCACTTTTAACAGAATTTTCTATAACTTCTCTTAATTTTACTTCGTCATAATATCCATTTGAGATGAAAATTACTACAGCAATACGAGAGTTTTCCCTGTAAATATTATGAAAATAAGCATTAATCAATGGAATACAAAACAGCATTCTGTATGTGCCTGTCCCAAGTCATGATCAGGAGCCTGTAATTAGTTGTCGTTTGTTGCTGTATATCAAATTCGTTTTTGTTTATCATTTTACATAACATAGGCCGTTAGTTTTTCGTTTGATTTGTTTTACAATTGTCATGCGGTATGAGTTTTTTCTCATTGCTGAAGGCCATACGATTACCTAAAGTTGCTTACTTTTAGATCATTTGGTCGCTGGTGGAGAGTTGTCTCATTGGCATACCACATCTTATTTTTATATCAATTTATTTATGATCTATGTGATATTGTTTGGGAAATTACTTCTCCATAATATTATAATAAAAACTATTTTATATCATATAATGTGCTCCTTACAAAAACACTGCTACAACAGAGTAATGATTTCGCACGTCGTCTCTCCTCTAAGTCTTCATGTGATTTCCTCAGTTTTGATTTATTACCCTGATAAGTCTTCTTAGTCTATTTACGAGACTTGAATATCGGTAAACTACTGTTGCCTAAATATATGAGAAAGAAGGACTGAAATCGACACTCTATAAATTTTACTGTCACCATCACGGAGAGATTGACCGATACGATTAGTTTGTTTCTCAACTCAGCCTCAATAGACATCTTACAAATTTAGATGTTAACAGTAGCTTTGTCCGTTACTGTAATGATTGTGTTATATTCGTTATTGTAAAATTATAGTGTGGATTCGGATGGCTTTGGGGTTTTTTTCGTATCTTTGTTTGTATGTTCTAAATGGATTTACTTGAACATCCATTGGTACTGTTATACGGTTTATACAAAACAGTTATTGTATAAAAAACGGATTCAATTATTCATATTTGTTATCGTCTACGTTTTATTAATAGATATTGAAGAGATAAAATGTAATGTTTCAAGCAGCAAATGTCAGAACATTCAATATTTAGATCAAAAGTTATGGGTTTAAATAGTTATGTTATAGTACTTGAACAAGCAAGACGGTATATGTCATTTAATCTACACGGCCCAATTTTTCAACTGTGTTCGGCGATTAAATTTTAAGACATGTCGCATCTTAACCAAGTTTGATTGATATGGAACTTAGATATTTTTGTCCAGCTTTGGCATATACATAACTATAAACATCATTAAATTCGATCCCAAAATAGTCACTCACTAAAAAGGAATACATATTCTAAAGAACGTTTTAAATTTCATTGACCACAAAACTAATCCAAACACGATTTCAATTATTTTGATATTCTCAAATACACTTATTTTTTAGCAGAAATTATAAAAAAGAACAATTATCTAAGTCTAACACTAATATAGGATTAACATTGTGCACAAGTTAAATCATAAAATGTTCCCAGTTTAAGGAATGAAAAACGATTTCTTTTTCATATTTGATACGACGAAGTTTGTACAAAGTTGTTGATATATCAACTTAGTCGTAATTGCAAGTTCAGTGGCGGATTCCAGGGGTAGACGAGGGCGTGCACACCCCTTTGATTGGAAAATATAAAAAAACAATTGAATAAAATCGTCAATTTGTTTCAGTGGAATTTCTGAGAGTACCGGAGCACTTACTGATGAAATGAAGATATCATCGGGCACTAGAGGACTATCAGTGGCAATGTCGACCCAGTGATAGAAAATGAAAACAACACTGTAAACACTTTACGCATGGTGTGCTTTTCCATCCCTTAATCGACTTAAACTGAAAATGATATGAACAAACATACCGAACTCCAGGATAAATTCAAAACGGAAAGTCAATTAAACCTGAGAAAATCAAACGCTCGACTACATCAACCAAAGGAACGAATGAAAAACAATTGTCATATACCTGACTTGGTACAGGCATTGGTATGAAGTTGGTGCTGATATATTCTAAAGATGTAAAACAGGAATATGTCAATGAGATAACTATCTATCAAAGACTATTTGATCATATATCCACCTATATAAACAAAGTCACCTTAAATATTAAGATGTGATATCCCGTTTGTAATATGTTTTCTACAGGTACAATGAAAAGGAAATTTAAGTGTATGTGTCCAATGCGTTTTTTCCTGGCGTAATCCCTGACTCAATACATATATTACATTACATTCATTGAAATCAATAACACCACTTTAGACAATGGCATAACGTATTAGTTGTGAAATATAAAGACCATGTGAATCCTCCAAAGGAATGTAACCCTTCCAAAAAGGAATATTAACAAGAGGAAACGTCATTTTGTCGCAACTTATGTTTAGAGTTTCAAATGTGAAACTTAAATATCCAAACCTAGTAAAGGACGTTCGATTCTGCTTATATTGAATTTATCTAAAGTAATATCCTTTGGGTAAATTTTACGCAGAATAGATTATTATTTATCGCAAAACAGCATTTAGATATACTAAGTGTTGTTGAATTAAAAAGTTAGACGAAATTTAGACAAGTCTTTACTGGATATACATTGTGATTCATAACACCATAGAACCAAGTCAGACTCTGCTATTGAAGGGGCACTTTGAGTTCTAATAGGAATGCCTTCAAATAATCGATAAACTATATTGCCGAAACTAACATAGATTTTGTCAAGGAGAATTTTACAAATTTAATCATCTCTTCACAGCTCCAGTAAGTATATGTCGCATATTTACCTTTTTTATATCAGAAAAAGGCTGAATATTTTGCAGCTAATACACTTGCAATTAGATTTTTCAAATGAGCATTTAATTAAATATTACACCCCAGTTCTATTGTTATACTTCATAGTTTCTATTTCTGAAACAAGTGTAAATTGAATAGATCTATTGTTACGAATAACAATGGATTTTGACCACAGGGTGTGACGAGCGGGGTTTCTGGAAACCCCTGCTTCTACATCCCGAAAACACAGTCCATTGTTATTCATTACAATAGAAATTGATTATTTTCCAAATAGCATGAACATAAGAAATTACTAATAGTGTTCACTACAAGTTGTTTCAAAATATTAAAAAACACATTTTAGGAAATTTCAATAGCGAAAAAAATATAAAGCACCTATTTTGAATAAAAAAAATCCTTCAAGGGAAAAATAATTTGATTGATAGCGTTGAAAATCTAAATAAAATTGTTCGCGATTTGCGAGAAAAAAAAATTCTGACTTCTGACTCCGACAAAAACCAATACCCAAGACCCTACCCCCCCCCCCCCCCCCCCGCCTCCCCCCCCCCCCCCCCCCCCCCCCAACTGAATCCTGGTCGTCGGGTTTCTAATCCAGACACACCTATCCCTCAGTGTGTCCGAATATGAATGTTTGTTTATTCTCGAGAAGGGGGGGGGGGGGGCTTAAAAAAATAAAAAATACATTTATGATTACCTTCATTAAACTGATACAGGTAAGTACTTTGGGTTATAATATTGCCTTTATCTCTAGTCTCTTCTATAAAATCCAACGCTTGACTCAAATATCGTCCGTCTAATACCCCTCTATATTGACAACTGCATACAAGCAGCATGATGTATTTTTTTGTGATAAGAAAGCACGAAACGGTCAACCTTGAACTTCTGATCCATATTAGCACCAGGATTAAACGGGAATATGTAAAACAACAACTTTGACATTTGTAAAATCTACTCACTTGTCAAAGTTTGAAAGAACATAGCCAAAGTAAGGTTAGTAGTTTCATGTAAAAAAAAATATTTTTCTTATAATTCATGGTTCGATTTTGTCAATAAATATGCTATCCATTCTTTTTCATTTAATAATCAATGTTAACAAATATAGAGTTTAGCACTGGGTGTAAGTTATTTATACACCTCGGGATACGGCATGTCTGGATAAGAAACCCCTCCGACCACCGGCAGTCGGGGTTTCTTATCCAGACACACCTATCCCTCGGTGTATAACTATTACAGAAACCCTCTGTGTGATGAGTGTGAAAGTGTAATGTAAAAAGTCGAACTGTCAACCGAATTGAAAAGATCATCGAAAATATATACAGTATCAGGTCAATGTCAGAAAATACAAATTGTTTTGTATGAGGTTGAGATACTGGGGAAGGGCGAAGTTTTACCGAACTTAATTTTTGAAGTTCGAAAGAGTGTTTACCACTCCAAAAATAATTAAGAGACGATTTAAGATTAAACACCAAAACTTTGTGCTAAAAAAGAATAAGGACAAAGTGAGAGTAAAAAAGCCTCAAAGATACTCCCTCATTCACATGTATCTCCACTAATGGATGAAATATGATACAGTAGTTTACAATGTACAAGATAACCAAACAGAAATTGTCGAATATGTCAACTGTTTGAAGTTTCTACCTTATTTGTTTTTAAATAATCGAATTTGGACCGTTAAGTTACGTTTTAATTACTAGTACTCTTTTATCAACTTTTCATGTACGTTTTCAAAGATAGATTTGTCACTTTCTTTGTGTGGCTAATTTGAATATTTTGGTCAGATATTTAATGGACCAGCTAAAATGTATGTCTACGCTCCGACCGATTTGATTTTTGCTTCCCGAAGTCGGTGCTTGCCTTTTTCATAACGTTATAGTAACAATACTTGATATATTTTTTGTTAACTGCTACTGCCGTTTAGCTCATTGATGCTACCGATAAGCGCCATCATTGTCTTTAAGAACAGAGATTGAAACTTATCATATGATGTTGGAACTCACCAAACTCTTTTAGGTGGAAATTAGCAAATATTGACAGTCATTAGAATATTAACATTTTTCATCCTTAGTGTATTTTGCGTCTAGTGAGGCTAGTTATCTTGTTAAATGTCAGTTGCAGTTATAGTTTCTACAAGTAATTTTATTACTTATTACAGAAATCAATCATTTTTTTTTTTGTGATCTGCTATACCAATAGTCTTATATAGATTGAGTGTAGGTGAAATAATTCTCCTTTGCAAAATCTCTTTATATGATTATGATTCAGCACATCGGAATCAGTTAAGATATCCTTGTTATTTAAAAATGAACTCTATCAAACTTAATTGTTAATTTTTTCAAGAATGGTATTTTTTGATAAATATTTTATACAATTCCAGTCTCTCATCACAATCATTGATCCGTCATTATATTATTTTATTAGTGTAATGAACAACACACTTGTTTTACTATTATGGTACCATAAGATGAAATTTATTAGCAATAGACATAAACTCACACAAAAGAAACATCTTTGACCTTTTGTTCTCCTTTTCCTAATTCACTTTGATACGTATCTTCAATTGCACTATGTACTGCATTACTTTTCTCATTATATTCAACACTGTCCCTGTTGTTCAGTGCGTCATTGTAATTTTGACCAATTGGTATACCAATACTATAACAAACTAAAAAATAAATATCAAATGATTTTTACTTATATAAATGTGTTAAATGATATCTGTATTAGTTCACTGCAATATTTTTTTTCATTGACAACGTAATTCATTACTTTTGGAGACCTGTTTTTGAACTCGATAATTGACAATCATATAGGATATAACTGAGCCTAGCTTCTTGTTGACCTTTTTTTTCTTTGTTTGACAAATACTTCATGAAGAGACATTTCCGTAAAGAATAAGAGAAGATGACATTTTCCTCCAACTTCACAGTATGTTGTATAGATATTGTCCACAAATAATATGATCTTATTCTGTGTATAATAAATTTGAAACCTTTTTCATCTTTGGTATGCTTACTTTAATTGCAGGCCTCAATGGTATGGTAAACAAACACGAACGTCAACTCATGTGAGAACTTACCTCCAGTATAAAAGAAGTTGTCAACTGGTTTGCTCATTCCAAATTTTGTAGAAGTGTAAATTTTAAATCTATACATTTCTGATTTTTTAATGTTTTCCACGTTGTATTTTAATCCAAGTTTAGCTGGCTGTTCCAAGTCTGCAATCATAGTAGCCCATTCATCTATTGTTATCTGTATTCCATAGTTAGTAGTTGCAAATAATGTATCAGCAGGAGGTGACCAGAAAAGAATTATTTTACCGTCTTTCCATACTGGTGGCATTTTCCCTGGCATGGCAGGTTCTGTAATATATGAGAGGAAATAATGTATTGCGTTCTTTTAAGATTCAGTACGTGAGTGAAATAATTGACAAATTTTGCATTCGGCTAAATAACATTCGATCATGGTACAAAACCAACAAAAAGTGTCCCCTACAAGACTTCTACGCTCAACGAAACATCCTTTTCATAATGTTATTTTTCAAATTATAGAAGTGAACACTCAGTGGGACACCACGGAGGAGAGAAAACGTTTGGATCCACTAGCTCCATACTTTAGAACCTGGTGGTCTAACTGAAAAAGACGAGACTAGGTTTATTATGTAGTAACATCCTTAACATCTCTGCAATATTGACCAATGGACGTTCAAATTTACTTTACTTTAACAAAAGATTTCGTAGATTAAATAAATAATCGTGAACTTCATCCAAGTTATTTGTTAAGCAGCAAATTGTTATGTACAATGGGCTGCAAATGTTTCTTATCTGCATCCGATTTCACCTGAATAGATGCACATCCGATGAAGCTAGTTTGTCTAGCGAAATATTGCGTTTATTTTTTATCCCATTGTAAAATTTTTTTTATCATTTTAATATTTACATACTAAATAGTGTGTTTAAATTAATTTGTTAGGCAATTTAAATAATTATATATATATATATATAAAACGTCTAGATATTAGTCAACGATCTTTCTTACGAGGGCATTGGATCGTTACGAGTCACGGTACCTGTACACAATAAATAAATTATATAAACGCCTAATTAGTGTACAAAACAACACCAATACTAAAAAAAGGAAACATTAGATATAAGTATCTATCAATATTTCGGATAACAGATATCTTTCATCAGTATGATTATGATGTAAAATGAATCATATCAATCTATTATGATTTAACTATAACAATCTTTAAATTTATACAATTGAAACCGAACAACGCTTGTACAATTCGAAAATTTAAAAAATGACGTCGGTTAAGTATTTACAACAGAGACTGCATAGAAATGCTTCTAACAAAAATAGTAATGTGCGATATGAACTGGTACATTTCTAAAATTTCACAGGTGACGAAAGTTGAGTTATTACAACAAAGACTGCGTAGAAATACATTCCAAATGAATAGCCTTGACCGATTTGAGCTGGTATATATATATGTTGTAAATTTGTCACATATTTATATATGTATATAATGTACGTCTAAACAATTGACAACTCTTCGACAGATCAATCCATTGGATCACCAGTGAAAAGTAAAATCACAAAAATACTGAACTCCGAGGAAAATTAAAAAAGGAAAGTCCCTAATCAAATGCCAAAATCAAAAGCTCAAACACATCAAACGAATGGATAACAGCTGTCATACTCCTGACTTGGACCAGGCATTTTCCTATGTAGAAAATGGTGGATTGAACCTTGTTTTATAGCTAGCTAAACCTCTCACTGTGTCCAGCGCTCTAGACCACTCGGCCACCTAGACTGAACTAAAAATTCAGCTTTCGGTGGCCTAGTGTTACCTTTCCTCGTCAGTAGAATCTAGAGTTGTTACACAGTACATGATATATGAAAATGAAATTGATTGCAGATTAGCTAAATTACCTATCGTAAAGGATCGTAAGATGCACAGTGCAGGCGGTGTTGTCTCGATATCTCAATAGCATGAGTACGAATCCCGGCGAGGGAAGAAGAAAAAGTTGCTTCCGCAAACTTGCAGATTTAACATTGTTGTGCTGATATTTAGAGTAACTATGAATGTAATATGTGTTTTCAGCCGTGTATCACCTTCACTGGTGACCCAATGGATTGATCTGTCGTAGAGTTGTCACTTGTTAAGACTTACTTATCAAATAATTATTGTTGTGACTGCATCTTACGATCCTTTACGATAGATAATTTAGCTAATCTGCAATCAATTCCATCTTCATGCCTAATATATAATGTACTGTGTTACAACTCAAGATTATACTGACGAGGAAAGGTAACACTAGGCCACCGAAAGCTGAATTTTAAGTTCAGTCTAGGTGGCCGAGTGGTCTAGAGTGCTGGACACAGTGCAGGCGGAGTTGTCTCGATATCTCATTAACATGAGTTCGAATCCCGGCGAGGGAAGAACAAAAAGTTGCTTCCGCAAATTTGCAGATTTAACATTGTTGTGCTGATATAATTAGTTATATAATTCGTCTCAAATTTAGCTCAACAATGTTAGATGTCAGACAGACAAAATAGCTGATCTGAAAGGTACACAACCTACTTGCATCATATACTGTGTTACAACCCTAAATAAAGCCGACGAGGAAAGGCATTACATCGACCACCGAAATCTATACTTTTATGTAGCCTAGGTGGTCGAGTGGTCTCGGGTGCTGGACACGGTGTAGGCGGTGTGCCACGATGTCACAGAAGCAAGGGTTCAAATCCCGATGAGGGAAGAACAAAAATTTGATAACGCAAATTTGAAGATTTAACATTGTTCGACTGACTTTGAGACAAATTATATATATATATATATATATATATATATATATATATATGTGTGTAAGCCTCAGATCTGTGTACGGCCTCAAATCTGTGTCCGTTTCTCAAATCTGTGCCCCATCGTGACGTCAATCGCTAATGTATGTCCGTTAAAAAGATACGGCCTCAAATCTGTGTCCTTTCCTTAAATCTTTTTCCAGTTTGTTTCGCCATGCACAAATTTATGCCCGTCTAATAAGTACGGCCTTATAGGATTTTTGTTTTATTAAGTCATTTCCAATAATTCAATGTTAAGTTGGGGTGTGTTCTCCATGTGTGTGCTTAAAATTTTTACATGCTTGTGTAATTATTGTATGATTGGGTGAACCCATGAGGGTTCACGCATATTTATTAGTTAGAAATATAGTCTATGGAGGAATATCCGGAAGCTAAATTATTGTTCATTCGGAACACCTATTCATCTTATCTGTATTAGCTTCCTGCAATTAAGAGCACCTCCATACGGTGTATCTAAGATATTTAAAACATGGCAATAAAGAATTTTCACAGATCGCTAATTCACATATCTGATATATGATAATAAACAATCTATAGATCCTTTTCAGACATGTATATTTATTGTAAAGCTACATTTTATGCATTGCAAGGGTTTACTGAATTGAGCAAAGTTGACAGTTGTACCCTTTGATAAACAAGTGAAAGTTAAATGGTCAAGATTTAATTATAACAACCTATGGTATCAAACATCTGTGTCTCACTGAGATATTCACAGAGAGATATTTTAAAATCGTGCTGTGGTTTCTACATAATGAGTTATAGTGGGCTTTGGGATTTGATTTGTACCAATAAAATCATTATGCACACTTGTCATTTTGACAAATCAGATAAAAAAGTATGCTTTAAATGAAAATAAAACAATTAAAATAAAGAATGTTCGTTGTAAGTTAATTAAATGTTTATCTAATTCATTGATGTCACTATTATTTCAGTGACCGCTGCAGAAAGTCTTGACTCGTTCAAGAGACTATTGCATGCACATTAAATTTCAAGTCCCATGTTTTCATTTGCACCATGTATAAATGTTATGTACAGCACAAATTATTTCCTTTCTGTTAATACTATTTTTGGACTTGTTAAGTATGCAAGCGCACACCAAACAATAACAGGATAGTCAACAAAATGACGGTGGTCACTTAGTGGTAGAAGTAGAAATTTCTTATATTATTCACACACTGTAATGCTCTTAAATTTATGTGTGTTTTGGATGTGCACTAGTAATTGGTAAATATTGATACGTTTCTGTGTTTTTAGTATATGTGACTTAACATCAAGAATTCCATTATTATGGAATCGTTCACTTTTGTACCACTTCGGTATCTAAATAGAGGGTGGTAAAAGGGAGGGTCTGAAAACGGAAACACGTTAAATAACAAATCACAAAAACGTTGCACGGAAAAAAAACACTCTGGAAAAACGAAGCCAAGGAATAAAATCGTAACTATTAAGGAAAAAGGTACCAAAGGTTATTACTCAGCCGTTCTTGTAGATCATGCAGTCATTATAAATGGACATGGCGACCCTGCACGTGGTCACCTTTTAGCGTCCGTTAGTTGCATCCGATTTATCATAGTAATACAATAGGCTATTAATAAATATCTTGGGACCAGTTAATTAGTTTATAATTTAAAACAATATCTGGGCTGACTTTGAATTAGTCCCGGTTTACTTTTTAATCAAATGCGAGACAAGCACGAGAAAAAAAGAGTACCGACACGAAACACGGAAAATAATTAAGGGAAAACACGAAGCACGCACGTCGAACCAAAGACGAGAAAACGAGAAATAAAACATCGAAACACGGAAACACGTGAAATAAAAAGGCCAAAAACGTTGCACGAAATAACCCTTTACCAACCTCTAAATAGGCCATACTAGATGTCGACACCTCATATTAGAACTTAAGTAGATGGTCAATTTCGTTTGCAAGGTTAAAGAAATCTTCAACTTGCTCTAGTTTGCCTGTGAAGACCATAAAACCGTCATCCCTATTGACAGTGTAATTTGATGTTTTCGCTCCATTGGAACTTATCTGAGATTTTAATGAATAGGGCAGACAGATGCAGATCTGTGCATGTTGGTGACAATGGGCGCTCCTATAATGTGTTTGTATAACGGTCCATTAAACTCAAATTCATTGTTTCTAAGAATTAATTTAACAAATGCAGTTAAATCTATTTTGTTGAAAATCTTTAAAGTATACTCGCAGTTACTGACAGCTAGTTCAAAGCCACTAACAACTAATTAAAAAAGACTAAATTATCAATTAGTACACATCCAACATCCAATTATTGAAGAGGCATAACTTTTACATTCAAGATACAAAAAAAATCATTAATAAAATAGAGTCAAACGAGGTAAAAAAAGTATGCATTCTTATTGCCAATATTGTACGTCAATGTACACAAATATGATCATTCATAATTTAGAAGGAACTGTTATCAATGCATTAGAATTTATTGACACACAGTCGAATACTCTCAGATCTGTACTAAGTGTCTATTTGTTGTTGGGATATACAAGTACCCGGCCACGTCCACTCTGTGTAGTATTTCTGTTTGTATCCATCTGATGAGTTAAGCCTTTTTCAACTGATTTTATAGTTCGTTCTTATGTTGTACTGATACACCACTGTCCCAGGTTAGGGGAGGGTTGGAATCCCGCTAACATGTTTAACCCCGCCACATTCTCTATGTATGTGCCTGTCCCAAGTCAGGAGCCTGTAATTCAGTGGTTGTCGTTTGTTGATGTGTTACATATTTGTTTTTCGTTCATTTTTGTACATAAATTAGGCCATTAGTTTTCTCGTTTGAATTGTTTTACATTTGTCATTTCGGGGCCTTTTATATCTGACTTATGCGGTATGGGCTTTGCTCATTGTTTAAGGACGTACGGTGACCTATAGTTGTTAATTTCTGTGTCATTTGGTCTCTTGTGGAGAGTTGTCTCGTTGGCAATCATACCACATCTTCTTTTTTTATATTTATAACTAGATCAAGTAAGTATCTCTCGCGGGAGAGTTACACTTATTGATGATTGGTCGGTAACGAACATTATAATGTGTCCTGCTAGCTGACCAGTTCGCAATGCCTCATTACTTATTTCTAGATTAATTTTATGAATTTTTGGAAGAAGGTACATGTGTCCTCCATGTTTTTCATTATTATTATTCTTTAAGAAATTATACGTCTGGTAATCTTTTTTTTTTCTCTCCTTGCTTTATATTTAACACTTCTCTCAACATGCCAAAATTGTAATGATTTACAATAAAAAGAAAATATTATCCTCTACACACATGGCCAAGATAACACTGATATATAATTTCTTATTCAGTTGAATTAATAATTAGAATAAAAAAGTTCTAAGGTTCACGGATTGTCTTTTTTTTTTTAAAAAGCAACTTGTTTACATTTTATTGTAAAACTACAACATTTTCAAATTGTTTGCATTTCCTGATCCCGTTAATTGTTCTGTAGTAATTATCGTTACTTCCCTTTACTCATTACGTCTTGAAATATAAATTAATAAACAACCTGAGACAAAATGACATCTGTATACAAGCAACTAAAGATACATATACGGCCGTCAACAATGAATCAAACCTATTCTGTATCGTAAGCTATAAACACATACACCTATTTACAAACGTTTTGTTCAATGTTTCAATGTATAGATACCACATAAAATGTTTAGGGTATAATTTATTGTGATTAACAACGACATTTTGTGCCACTGTCTTAATTATTAAAAAAAAAAAATTTTCTGGTGAAACTATTCCAGTTTCAAATCTATGTATTTGAAAATCCATTGTGTACCATGACATTCAACAACCACAACATAATTCAGTGTACAAATTATTGGCATAACGAGCATACATGTTACTTTCAAGATTGAAACTACACATATTTTTTTTACTTGATTACGTCTTGCTATGTCTTACGTCACCACATTTCGATAAAGGACATAGATTTGAGACAATGCAGGACATAGATTTGAGACAATGCAGGACATAGATTTGAGACGATAAAAGACATAGATTTGAGGCAATAAAAGACATAGATTTGAGACAACAAAGGACTTAAATTTGGAACGTCTATGACGCAATATTAAAAAAGGACATAGATTTGCGGAAAGGACATAGATTTGAGTCTGGACATAGATTTGAGGCTTACATATATAATGGTGTTAGCCCTCTATAACCACGTGTTATCCGATGGAGAAGGTCTGTCCTAAAGTTGTCACATGCTGAGACGTGTATAATGAAATTAAAATTTGATATGGCGGCATGGTAATTAACATCATCATCCTTTACCACAGACAAAATGGCTGATCTGAAATCTACACCATCTACTTGCCACTATACATCAAGTACTGTGTTACAACCGTAGATAAGCGGACGTGGAAAGGTATTACATCAACCAACGAAAGCTATATTTTTTTTGTAGCATAGGTGGTCGAGTGGTCTAGGGCGCTGGACAAGGTGCAGGCGGTGTTGCCACGATGTCACAGAAGCAAGGGTTCCAATCCTAGTGACGGAAGAACAAACATTTGCTAACGCAAATTTAAAGATCTAACATTGTTGGGCTAAATTTGAGACAAATTATATATATTATGGTGTTAGCCCTGCATAGCCACATGTTATCCGATGCAGAATGTCTGTCGTAAAGTTGTCACATGTTTAGACATATATATTCTTGCTCCTGCAATTAGGAGCCTGTTATTCAGTGGTTGTCGTTTGTTGCTGTCTATCATAACAAGTCAGGAATATGACAGTTGTTTTCCATTCGTTTGATGTTTTTGAGCTTTTGATTTTGCCATTTGATTAGGGACTTTCCGTTTTGAATTTTCCATTTGTGTTATTTTACTTTTTTTCATATTTGTGTTTCGTTTATTGTTTTGTACATGAATTAGTCCGTTAGTTTTTCGTTTGATTTTATTTGGACCTGCTATAGCTTGCTATGCATTGTGGGTTGGCTCATTCTTTAAGGGCCGTAAGGTGACCTATAGTTGCACCTATGGTTGCTAGCTTCTTCGTCATTTGGTCTCTAGTAGCAAGAGTTTTCTTTGGCGATTATACCACATCTCCTTATTTTATAGTGTATAAGATTTTTTTAAAGATATATATACCTTCACTTCTTTTATTGAAGAGTTAAATACTGTAACAAACCAAATTGTTTAAGAATAACGATGAAAGAAATTGTAACAGTCGTGAATATATTTTTTAACAAGTTAGTTGGAAGATGGGAATGCGGCTTGCCGTTATTGAACTATAAATTACAAAATCAGTTAAAATTTAGTAATGTCGGGTTTTGTCAGAGAGCATCATATATATAAACACTATTAGATTTTCGGTTGAGTTACACAATTTCAGAACATTTACAGAAAAAAAGTTCGTATAATTCAAACACTTAGATGAGAAAAAAATTATAATTCATCATCTTGTCTGGAAGGGACATGATGTAACATTTTAAATGATTTACAGTGATTACTATCATCTTATACAATTCCAGAGCATCTCAGATCACTCAAATATTTGTTGGGGTTCGTGTCTTTATTTTTGAATGTAGTATTTTATGAACTTGTTGTCTTCTCGTCGAATTTTGTTTTATTCTCTCATTACCACCATGATAAATTCAAAATTGCCATTAAAAATAAAAAATAAGAAGATGTGGTATGATTGCCAATGAGACAACTCTCCACCAGAGACCAAATGACGTAAGTTAACAACTATAAGTCACCGTGAGGCCTTCAACAATGAGCAAAACCCATACCGCATAGTCAGCCCCGAAATGACAAATGTAAAACAATTCAAACGAGAAATTAAAACCATACATTTGGATGATAACAATAATTTATGCATATTAATTATTGATAATAAGTTCCTCCTTTCATTAATTTCCCCTTTATGTTCGCTTATTACACTCGCAATACATTCATTTTATACAATGGATATTATAATAATTCTTCAAACTAAATTGACTTTCCTGCTTTTTTTCACCGCTTCGTTGGCACATACAAATATTTTTTTCTCATTTGTTCGAAATGAATATATCATTTTAAAAAACTGTAAGCCACATTTCTCAAAATTGGTCTTTTTTAGAAGAAATCGTGATGACTTTTTCTCAAATATATATTCATATAAAAAGTATTCAGGTTTGACATATTCATGTCAAATTAATGCGTCTTGCATTTCTCCTGTCGAAAGATGCTTATATCATCATTCGTGAAAATTAGCTTGTTTCCAGAATAGATTTCAGGTTGAGTTTCTAAAATAAATCTACATTGGTGAAAGATTAATTTTGATTATTACATTTCCAGTTTTTCACCCTTTACTACAATACTTCAGAGATAGATAACACCATTTGTCATTTGTCTATTGACGAAAAATATTATATGCTTGCAACTTTTACTAAGATAATGAATGTTTCTATTAAGTTAAAAAAAAAACTGCAATTGAACAAGCTTAACACAAGAAACATAATCTTAAAAAAATGCTTGTTTACTTATACATGTACATACCATCAGAATAGATCTGGTCTTCGCTTAGATCACTTCTAATGTCTTCTGAATGACAAGAATAGATGTAACAGGCCCTGAATCTGTATTCTTTCTTTGGAATTATGTCAAATATTTGCTCTGATAAGTTCGGTGGGTACGCGTCTAATGATTGGAAATTTTTCCATACACCACACGTATATTGTATTTCGTATTTCTTAATTTTCACGTTTAGTGGCTGAGACCATGTTAAGTCAATGCATTTGTCAGAAGTGTTGGCCCTTGTGGAAAATTTCATGACAGGACCTATAATACAAAAACGAATAAACATAGCCTGATGTTTACTTTTTATTCTTATTATTATTATTATTATTATTACTATTATTATTATTATTATTATTATTATTATTATTATTATTAATAATATTATTATTATTATTATTATTATTATTATTATTATTATTATTGAAATTTCTATAAATTCTTTTGAATATTCATTTGATCATGTCTTGCAAACATCTTGTATAATAACATAATGACTGTTACAGACAACATATTCTTTACCAAACTTACAATCCTATTACATCATCGTCGTCGTAAGAGTTAATGCACATCTTAACCTTATGAATATGTTTTAAAAGGAGTTTCTGTTTTCCAAGTTGCCACGAACAATATCTTTGATCTGGTATCTACCTGGGATTTTCGGATGAAATCTCTTTTGTGTCGCTTCAAGGATAAATGTTTATCTCAACTATCTCCGAAACACCATTTTATAACGGAAGTATAAACAACTGTCGTAAAAGTGGGAAGTTAAGATAGCTATAAAACCAGGTTTAACCCATCATCTTCTATGGACAATTATAGCCTAAATGAGAGTATGTGTATTCTATATTACACCTGACCTTTTGAAAGTGCATTTTTTGTGTGCTTCAACGAGTCAGGAGTATGACAGTTGTTTTCAGTCGTTTGATGTGTTTGAGCTTTTGATATTGCCATTTGATAAGGGACTTTCCGATTTGAATTTTCCTTGGAGTTCGGTGTTTTTGTTATTTTATTTTCTACGCTACAATCACTGTTTATTTCGTTTTCTACCTAGTATGGCGGCTGGCCTAGCAAATTAAATTGCATTATATCTGAGTATACAATTTTGGTGTCCCACTGCATTTATATTTGCCTCACATTATCTAAATACTTAATGGTTTTTCCGTTAAGGCAAAATGTAAACGGTTCTTAGGTGTTACTGCTGTGGTTTTGCCGTCTATTTGTGCTGCTGATGACTTTTAAAAGCTTAAAAATTGACAGAAGGGAATATAACTCCTTATGCAGATATTGTACAAAAAATATGAAATTTGACAGATTGCAATTTTGTTATGAGTTTTAGAAAATTTGAAACTGTTATCATGATTTAACTCGAAAATCAATTCTTTTGTTGTCACTTGTTAGTAACCTATAAACAATATCGTTATTAGTATGAGGTGTTATGTAAGTAAGGCATACTAAAAAGCTGAATGATTTATCAAATTGTTGAATTCGTTTATTTAAAAGGAATTCGGATTTACTATAATTAGATGAAAGATATCTACTTTCATGTAAACATATGGCATTTATATTCCGTAATTGTGACCATTATTTACTTATTTAATCATATTCCCGTGACTCCACGAACTTATCAATATGTTTAACTTTATCAGCATTGCCGGCAGTGTCTTACCTTCATAATATTAAATCATTATTCGGCATTCCCTTTATTCTAATTTGTCTGGATTATTTTCATTTTTGTGTAGATTGAAATTATTTTAATTTGGAATTCTTTTAAGGGATCAAGATTCACAGTGTGACATGTATATAAGGTGTAAATTGTTTGATTTTAAAGTAAATCACAACATGTTTAATGAGTTTAGATTGACACCTTGTACAAAGGAAGTTGAAAAGCTTCTATGCTCTAAGAGTCCAGTAAAAATCCCCAATGTGAAATAAAATAGACATATTACTTCTTAAATGAAACATTTATTGTCTCGCAAGCAGCAACAATCATTAATACACCTTTACAGCGTAGATGCGTCGTATTGGAATACCCTCTGAGTTCATGTGTAACGTAAGTTCGCAGGAGCAGATAAATCCATGAGACTTGGTATGTAGGTGCATGCAGTACCAATAAACATGAACCAAACCTCACTCATGGTTGATACCTTTGGTTAAGTTTTAAGTCTGTACAGATGTTTGTCAAGTTTATTTATCAAATACCATGTTGCCTAAAATCTTGTTACTTTATCTGATATTGGCATTTTGAAGAGTCGGACAGCATCTAACCATATGAATAGGTTGCTTTGTCTTTCATTTTATGTTTCCTTGAGTTAAGTTTTATGTCAAAGTTTATGTGTCGGATACTATGTAACTTACTATTGTGTGAATTGATTTGAACTTTATAACTTTTGAACGCTATAACTCCGTATTTAGTCCATGGAAATCTCTTTACACGAGGCATCGGATTTAACGTTTCCATTTTGACCATTCGTCCCTTCGTACTTGTTCATCCCGCAGAGCCGAACGGACGCCCCACTTCGGCAAGGGTATTACAGCCGGCCAGAAGAAGTTCAAAGTGACCATATTTCTATTCCCTTGTCACTTACGGGGTTGTAGTTATCGAGATGAATTGTCAAAATCATGAAAATTAGCAAAGACAATCGCCATTAAAGGACAATAACTTGTTAGTCTCTCGTCATCTTGTAATTTTTGTGAAACCAAGATAACATTTTGAGCATTTGCACTGTAAGATTTTTTCAATCTGTAGTGATTTTCAAGATATTAGACAATTAATGCATTTACCGATATGTTCAATTTTAAGTCATGGCTGACATATGTTTTGTCTTACTAGGACAAATCGCAAACTTATACAAGATACCATAGAGATCATTTAGGTGAAGTGTGATGGTAATTGGTTTAGTTGTTAAAAGATTTTTTTAAAGTTTACGACATACACAAAAATTAGTCAAAAATCGTTGTTTGGGGGCCAAATTCCTTGAAGAAATCATCCAAACATTTTGATCTTATCATAGTTTTTGTAGTTTTGGTATTGCATATCATGTTTCCTATTTATAATTGCTTTCAATCTAGCATAGTTTTCTAGATAATAGAAAAACAGTATTGATATAAGTAAAAAAAAAGGTCTTTCAAGGGCAATACTTCCTTAAATACCTATGCAATGAATTCGGTCATTTAGCATTTTTGTTCTTGTATTACTGATAATTTTTCCCGTAAGGAGTTCCTACCTATCTAATCTCATTTGAAATAATAGGCTAAAAACATTAAAAATTAGCCAAAAATTGTCTTTTAATGTAAAAATTCCCCAATTAGTCTTATGATTATTTAGAAGAAAATAGGAAGAATGTTAAACATTTGACTATTCGAAACCTTAAACTGAAAAGCTTTTAAAACCAAAAAGGACATATAGGAAAACCAATTCCAGACAACGAATCCGAGATATGGATGAAAGATAAAATACACTTGTTGTTGTAATATAATTAAATTCTGCATATGTTTGCGAAAAAACAAAAAAGAACTCTTCAAGTTTTTGTTTCTTCTGAAATGTTTACAAATTTAATCTTTGTTATGCACACGATCGAGTTTTCTGCATTCGTTAATGACAAAAATAATTATAGTTTCAGCTTGCTTTTAGTCAATTCGAGCATTCTTCGATTAGCTATTTCTGAAATATCAAAATATAGAAATAATTGTAGATTTCCCACACCTTAGGTGCTTGTGTAGTTGATTAATTAACTCCAAACATTCAAATGATTATCAAATTTCATCAAATCAAAAGAGCGTTTTATCATAAAATTTATTGTTCCGGGGTCTTGTATATTGAGAGGTCAGTTCGTGTTTTCGAGTGTCTTTTATATTGACATTTACCTTATATTTAAAGCATTCTATCTAGTAATATATAATACTGATTACTTACTTAGTTCCACCAGGGAGCAGTCTGGCAGTTTTTCAAAACATATAAGTATACCTAAAAGATGAAATAAGGACGCAATTAAATTAAAGGAAATAAACTTTGTGAACACGCTCACATACCCCACGCCTCAACATTGTCACTGGCCAAACAAAATCTCACCCGATTCATAAGTTCACAGACTCGTGAGTTCTACAAAAGTCAAGTGATGAAAGTTCTTGTTGTTACACATCTATATGTCCTCATTAACTACAAAGTTTCATGAAATTCGGATACGCTGACAAACTGTTGCATATTTAGTATATTTAGGTTTATAAAAGTTCAAAGGGGCATCACTCCTAGAACAAACATTGCATTATAATTTCCTGTCGATATGCACATTAACATATTATTTCTTTATTATATACAAAGTTACATCAAATTGTGTTGTGTGGCTTCAGAGGAGTTGCGCTCACTAACTGTTGCAGTAGTATATTATAGCCAAAAATCTAAATACAAAGGGGCATAACTTCTAGTAAACACATTGAATCATAACTTCCTGCCTATATGCGTATCTACAAAATATGTCCTTATTATCTACACAGAAAATTTGGGTCGATCTTAGAGCTTACGATTCCTGATTACGTATAACTCAGTTTTTGTTTCCGTCTGAATAGTGAAATATAAACAAGTTCTTTACTAACATCAAATGAAAATAATGTATGAATACTATACCCATTATCATAAAGCATATGGTGGTCAGAAGAATCGGTACTGTCGGAGAAAACCAATTCCACTTATCTGAAATTTTGAATGACCAAGTAAATGATTTAAGGTGATGTATAGATTTAGAGAATTTTTAAAAACTAACCAAAAGTATAAAACGTTGTTTGAATAATAAGGAAATAATGCATGGCAGCCGTAGATTTGCTTTCATTTAACTATGGTTTGGGCATTTATATTCGATTATTTTATCCCGAGCTATAGCAATGGTAGATTGTATGGTTGTCTGATCGGCCCAACATTATCATATTTATTGACACTACTAAATGCATTTTTTGCTCGTGAACTAATGTCCAGTTTTGCCTCTTTAATAGATACCAATGCTGTTTTACAAATATTATTTCGGGTATAAGCATTCAATACGCAAGAGATTTCTAGAACCCATTTTTGCACACAAAAAAATAACCAAACCAAATTTGTCATATCAAAAACAAAGCAAATAAAATCTAAAATCAAAAGATGTCTTTCCTATTTAAATAAAAACTGCAAAAAATCAATTACAGCTATAAACTGAGAGACGATCAAACAGACAGAGTATATGTATATCAAGAGATTATTACAAACAGTAATGTGGTATGAAGAAATTTTTATTACCTATAGTTGGTTTGTCTATTTCAGTATTACTCTGTTCTTGTAATATTTTCTCTTGTTCTTTGTTCCTTTTGAAGCAAATGATGAAGCTAATTATTGAACTTATCTCATTAAATACTTCTAACAGCCAAATGTGGTCTCATGAAATCGACGTCGTCTCAATTGCGTCGGTGGGCCCGAAGGCCAAATAATAAAAAAAAAATATTAGAAAATGAAATGACCAGCTGTAAGTGAATAGCAAAAGTCGATGAAAGCTGTGATTTCTTTTTTCACATAGAACTCAGATTTGTTTTTCATTGGCATTTTAAACCTTGACTAAAATTTCCCTGCAAACCGCTTTAATTCATATAAGTATGATCGGTAAGAGGACTGCTAAACTAATTTGAAAAGTAATTTCATGACAATTCCGTCAAGTTTGAAATAAACTTTTCAAGAAAATTACATGTTTTTTTTCCATATTGTCAATCTAATGCTTGTAGAAATTGAGGAAAAGTCATGCAATTAAATTGTTTGTTATTTACATATTTACCTTTGACTTAAAAATGGTGGACAAATTGACATTCGTCCCTCGTCTTTTCGGTCAACGCATATATAATCTACAAAAATATTTGTTTATAAAGAACACGTAGACAGTACGAAAAATGAAATAATGTCAATTGCAAAATCATGTGATACAGAAGAGTTGTCTAAATGAATTTGGAATTTGATTTTATACGTTGCATTTCGTTTTTTGCCATGGCATAGTCGGTTTCTCCCAACTTGTGAGTTAAGAATGTCCCCTTGATATCTTTCACCTCTTTTTTGAAAATAATAAATTTTGTGAATTATATTAATCGATTTGATAATTGCTTTACCTGAATTTCCTTATTCCACTGTTTTTAAATCTCAGTAGTTAAATAAATACTTGATTGTACGAGCTGTCACATTTCGAAAGAAATATTTATCTTTATCCTCACGTGTAAACTTATTTTAAAAACGTTCTAAGGATTTCCAAGCAACCTCGAAGTAGGGCTGTCGTTTTTAGTCAGTGGTTTTCTTAACTTAATGTCCCTTTGAATCTTTTATCGTACAAATCGTCAACTATTGTCAAATAAAAGTGTGACACTATCATTAAGGATGTTCGCTGCTCTGGAATTGAATTTTTGTCAGATGTTCGGAATCCTCTGGTTTTATCCATGTAGTGCCATTAAAAAAATTTGCCCATTAACCCCTACTTTTCTTTCCATAATTTGATTACATATAGTTTAAAATGTCATATTTAAAAATATTATAAATTCCTTGTTATTTTTTCATCGTTTTTGAAAGAAAAAAGGTACCAATGTTAAATGCATGAAAAGTCTAGAGAGAATTATTTCCCGCCAAATTTTCAATGGCTTATATCTCGAAAACAAGCACACGGACCCTTTATTTTTTTCTGCTTTTTTAGTTTCTATATTTATATACTAATAATTTATAACATTCTCTTAAAAAGCTTGTTATTTTGAAACAGAGTAGCGAACATCCTTAAATGAGAGACGAAAGATATAAAAATATGGACTTTCAAACTCATAAGTAGACTAACGCTATGACTAAAAAAAGACAAACAGACAAACACAGGTACGCAAAACGCAACATAACTGAAGACTAAATCGTTAGTTATATAATGCCATTTTTTCTTCTAACATGCTTATATGCCAAAGCTTCAAATATCATTCGCAAGTTTTTAATCAAATATTTTCATTAATTCAAAAATAAAATCAAAATTATCTCCTTCATTGGGTTTTTAACAATAAACAATTTTTTTAATGGATTTTTTTTTAAATAATGACAAATTTACGTGTAGGACATTGTATGAATACAATACAAAATATGTACAAATCAGGATTTAAAGTGTAAATTGTTCTGGAATAAATCTTAAGAACTATGTTTGTTAAAATCTGAAATTAAAACTAACAACAATAATTAATAGTACAATATTTTTCTAGGTGGAAATCAACATCATTAACAAATTGCACAAAAGATTTTTTTCATATTATTACTTTGTACGCGTTTAACCTATTTATTCTATAGGAGTAGCGTTAACGGTTTTATCTGATCTAACAATGCAGCATAATGAAATTATATAAACTTTCTAGGTCGACAGTTGGCCATTCAAATTTTTCTTCAATAAAACACAGGTAGGTTGGCGTTTGATGCGTGTGTGTATATTTTTCTTGTTCCTATATCACATTTGATAAAGGGTAATATGTTTACTATTGTTGTGTGGTAATGGATTGTAATATTTGCGAAGATTAACATCAGTTCGCTAAGACATTTACTGTCGACTCGATATATTCGAATTCCTGTTGTCTTAAAGTAATTATACTAGTCAACAAAAGAAACGATACAAGGCAATGTATTTTCCATATATAATGAAATTGGATACACTGTACCAAGGTAAATAATTGCCCAAATGGTCTAATATTTACAGAGTGTTATTTTCTTATCAATACCACTGATTTAAGGCAAATATGCGAATTTTTTTTGAGCATTTTTGTTATTTCATCCAAAAATTTAAAAAATGATATTACAACTTAAAACATTAAACTTTAACATGGTCTGCTTAAAATTTTCAATCCCTTTGCAGATATTTGACTACTTAAGGAGGCTCGCGGGTTCAAATTTTCGCACCAACTGCGCAGGAAGTTGCGCATCGATATCGCAAGTCATACCTATTGTCGTAATTGTCAATGATAATTAATTTTGATTATTATAAATAATATATTTTATTTAAATATATAACAAAAGAATGTTGTAATTGAAAACTGTAATTCGAGAATTATATAAAATTTATTATTGCTATTTTCATTGTTGCAAATGCACTTCCGTTTTGTGGTAATGTCATGTTCTTGCCGGCGAGAGAAGATAAACACAAGACAAATCACAATAATCGAACACGTGGGCTGCTTTTCATGAATACTGAAACGCAGATCGAAAATATTAGAACACGATCTTCATTTTAGTAGCTTATGAAGCAGTTTCATACTTGTTTTACACTGGAAAAGGACCCAGAAATATGCGTAAAATGTATGTAATATTTTGTAAACAAACAATGAATAATGTAAGTAATTCTTCTTTAAGTTTCTAGCGGTCCTTCATTTATTGAAGATTCTTCGCCAAATAATTTACATCGACTGCGAATGATCCCAGAACAAGAGTGATTCACGACCATAAAATCATTTGAAAGTTAATTTTTTTTTAACGAAAATGGGAAAAAAACAAAAAACAGGGACAAAAATTAATGTGTATTATAAATTATATAAAACTGAGGATGGAAACGGGGAAATATGTCAGGACAACAATCCCGACGACCAAATAGCAGAAAATGACCCAAAGCCACCATGGGTATGAATCTATGATGGGTATTCAACACAGCAAGAAAATCCTGCCCCCGGAGGCAGGATCTAGCTAGCCCCTAAACAATAATGTATTGCCCAGGGAAAATGGACGTCAAACTTAACGGCAAAACATATAAAAGAACCAAAAAATAAAATACAGGACTAAAAAAGACCAGAATTTCCCGACTTGGGACAGGGTGAAGCGCAAACAATATTTCAGTGAGCTTAAACATGTTTTGTCAGATGTTAACCCTCCACTATACCTCTACCAAATGTGGAATAAGCAAACACACAGCAATACCTACACTAAAATTTGTGATGCTCATTGTACAATGTACTTGTGATAAATGTTATGACACATTATTTACAGACCACTAAGGGTTCAGGAGTCGTTTTCACATTAAGATCACATTATACAACTAAGGTCGATAGTACAATGTAAGTCATAAACAATTCATATACGATCAATGTTAGTTGTGAGTTTTTTTTTAAATCGACTCCTGGTGTGTTGACTAAATCACCATTTATTTGCGGCTTGGCAGTTGTGTTATATATAAAAGAGAAGATGTTGTATGATTGCCAATGAGTTAACTCTCCACAAGAGACCAAATGACTCAGAAATTAACAACTATAGGTCACCGTACGACCTTCAACAATGAGCAAAGCCCATACCACATAGTCAGCTATAAAAGGCCCCGAAATGACAAAATGTAAAACAATTCAAAAGAGAAAACTAACAGCATAATTTATGTACCAAAAATGAACTAAAAACAAATATGTGACACATCAACAAACCACAACCACTGAATTACAGGCACATACATACAGAATGTTGTCTACATCAGACACCATAAGTAAATTAATACTAATGACCATTTGATTTTTCGGAAAAAAAGGCAGGAGTTTCTTTCTTTTGCAAACAGAATTTTCATTTACTCTGTTGTTAGTTTAGATTATTAGTCCCCTACCGACGAAGTCGAAGGGGACTTTAGGTTTGCACTCTGTCCGTCTGTCTGTCCATCTGTCAGTTCGGCAAATCAGTTTTCCACACTTTTTTTCTTCATGCTTGAAGATATTGATTTGATATTTGGTGTATGGTTTTATCATGACAAGTTACTGATCAAGTTTGAATTATGTTCCGGTCTGGTGTTTTTATGCAAGAGTTATGGTCCTTCGATTTCCAAAATTTCGTTCAAATAATCAGTTTTCTGCACTTTTTTTCGTCATGCTTGAAGATATTGAAAATTGGAACATAGTTTTATCATGACAAGCAACATATCAAGTTTGAATTTTGTCCCGGTCTGATGATTTTGTGCAGAGTTATGGTCCTTTGACTTAGAAAATTCACTTAAATATTCAGTTTTCAACACGTGCAAGGGCTGTATAGCCAGTCAAGGTTTATTAAAAACTCATCATCATCATCATGATTGAAAAAAGTTATTTGGTCAATTTAGGCGATAACGCATATTTACACATAAAAATTAATACAAAAGCTATAGGAAATGAATTCTTTTTGCATAAGTACAATGTATGCTGATGCAATATACTTTTCAATTTTTACTTTTTAGTGGAAAACTTGCATGTAATTTTAGTCCCAATTGGGGGGTGGGGTGGGTGACAGGTATTTGCATAACCTGAGTATACAGAACAGGATTTTAAAAAATTGGCACACTGTAAAAAGAAAGTCATAAGGTTATATGAATAGAATAAACCTGTAAAGTTGGCCTGCTACTAATCAAACCATGCTTTTCAACACTTTTCAATTAATTATTTTTTGGGGGGAATTTATTGAATCTGAATAAGTAATTTATGGGAACTGAAATATGATCATAAATGAGTACTTTTGTCACAATACTGCATGTTGTTATTTATATTTATTTGAAAAAGTTGCCAAGATTGGATTTTATTATGCCCTGCCACAAATGTGGATGGATTATATAGATATACTAATATACCCTTGTTAGTCCAGAAGTATGTACATCCCTTTCCAGTTAAGTTTTGCATTTAGCTCCATTTCTCAGAAACTAATGGTAATATATCAATGATATTTTTTCTCCACAGACATCTTGTATACTAGTAGTACAATACATTACTTGAGTCACTATGACCTACATTTACTGCTTTTGTGTCTTTGGTTAAGTCTTGTGATTAGGTTCATTTCACAGAAACCTTTTGTGATATATCACCACTACATTATTCTGTTATGGTACCACTCAGGTCATCAACAATTTGATTACTGTGACTTATATTTAATGGCAGGTCATCCTGTGTCTTATAGACACATTTTCTACTTAATACAAATCTAATAACACACTATTTAACCTGAAATTTTTGATGTTATGTAATTTCAAAAGCATAAAACGGATAAATTGACAGATATAAAAAAGGTTTAAATGGCGGGTGTATCAGGTTCAACTATCTCATTTATTAATTTTTATACATAAACAAGTACTAGAAAATGAAAGAAGAATTTGTCTATGTCAAACTTAGATATAAATGGATCCTCTAATAATTCCATTATACAACAAACATAGAAGTTGTATGTTATATTTGTCAGCATTGTGTATAAAATTTCAAATATATATAAAAAGATCGGATATATGGGGCATGATTGCCACTGAGAAAACTTGCCACCAGAGACCAATAGAGATAGAAGTTAAGAACTATATGTCCCCATATGGCCTTCAACAATGAGCCAACTCCATACCGTTTAGCAAGCTATAAAACCAAATGACAAATGTAAGGCAATTCAAACATGTCAAAACAGCCTGATTTATGTACAAAACACCAAAAACAAAATAAAAATACCTTCTTGCAAAGTTTCATCAAAATTGGAATACTAATGGTGGAGATCCCTGGGGTGGGATATTTATTGCAGATGAGGGATTGTCTGGTAAACTGAAAAATCAGTGTAAGTCAGGTGTCTGAGTGAGTCTAGGTTTCATAAAAAAAGGCTGAGTCTCCAAGTTTTATTACAATCATACTTAAATTATCAACTGAAACCAGTGGTATTAAGCAAGAGAACAGACAGACAAAATAAGAACTATTTGCCCCAGGGATTCCACAGTTCATATAAATATGCAGGTTTTAAAAACAAACACACCCCTATTATAATAGATACTGCCTGCTCAATTTTCAAATTGTATGGTCTTGAATTTGAACTGAAAATTTAAAAAAAATCCCCAAAAAGAGTGATTTTCCATTTTGACTGCTGGTTGCCATGGCAACCAATATGCAAATCAACTGCACTTGTTTGGAAATGTTATATATGGTCTTACATGTATAGAAGGTATAACAAGTTTTTATAACCTGGTCAGTTTATATATGGTCCCAAAATTAGAAAAATGTGTCAAAGACAGAGTAATCTCCCTTTTTGAAAAAATCCCGTTATTTTTAATGATGTAAATTTTTTGTCTTAACTAGAAGGTGACTTGTTGATTTTATTTTTGATTAATTAAAAAGACTATTGAAGCAACAAAAAAAACACAAATATAAAAAAATCTTATATTAGGTGTCATGAGAGATTCTTCAATAAAACTAGCTTTGCATTCATTTCCCTATCATTTCTATAGTAATCTTGAACGAAAACCATTAAAATTTAACCCTTCAAAAATTCTTAACTAGACGGTGAACCCATTTTTTTATTTTACTTTTCCACTAAGCACATGATAAGGTTAATTTATAAAAAAAATTAGTAAAATCCTATAATTTTATTACATATTTATACAATCCAGCCACCTTAATTCTCATCTTCAAAATTAAGTTCCGACTTTTGTCATCATTTTCTGCAAAATAAATTTGACCCCTGTGTTCAATAACACGGTATTTTCTCACTTCCCAATTTGGTCAGATTCTTTTAATCATATGCATTTGCTTAGCAAATGAATGTTTTTCATTGGATAATTTAACAGTTTTTCCTATTTATTATATTTCATGATAAATTGGAGTTCAAACTTGTGTATCGTTACTTTTGTTGACTATTATATATATAAATTGTCTGCTCCATTTGATATATGTTTGCATGATATGACAATTCCTTTTTTCTCAATTTTTTTTTTGTCAATTCGATCAAATTTGAGATCAAGCGATTTGAAAGTAGATTAAAACAAGATTAAAATGATTGTTACATTGTTTTCGCATTAGATTTTATGAACTTTTCCTCTGGAATACAGTCGTTTAATTCTGAACTGATTGTGACTTTCACTTCATGATACGATACTTTTGTTTGTATTGTCTCGTTTACCAGTACTATATAGTTAAGTGATTTTTTTCTTGGCAATAACTTTATTTGTAGATTTTTGTCATGTTAAATATGAAATGCAACTGAATTTGATAAGTTTGAAGAGGATAATTATCTCTTAAACTACGTTAACTTCTGAACTACTCTCTTCATGTTCACGTACCTGTCCAAAACAGGGATTTGCTTTTAATTAGCCTTGATATGATTTATCCTTATCGTAAAATGTATAACAAAAATACCGATCTCCACAGTAAATTAAAAAAGGGGGAAGTCAATAAAAACTGACATCGCATTGTTTTCGAATTTGGAGTTTATTACAAATCTTTTGATTGTCTCTGTTAAAACGATTCACAGTTTTAAAAGATTCCTGAAATGTAGAACTTAACCTGTTCCATCGACATTTGGCTATTTTTAAAGACCATATTTAGACCTTTGCGTTTACTTTTGTTATTTAGTGTTGTTGGTATACAGTTTATTGATGTTTACTCGTTTCGTCTTAAATTCATATTCATAAGTATAAGTGAATAAAGAACAATACAATAGATACAGATGTAAATCTTTGTATTTTTTTTTTTAAACTGTTGAATGTTGACCAAAATATCACTTACAAATTGTATTGCTGCAACATCATGACTAAATTTACGCAAATGTCAAGGCTAAAACTACCTATATTTAGACAATAGAATTAAATAGATATTGTTTATTTCACAGAATTGTATAAATTATTTCTCAGCCTACCTTGAGATACTTTCTTTCTATCTGTGCAGATTTTCAAATAGCACGAACAATCTTCTTTAGAAGGTACACAGTAACATGCTTTAGCTGGATTGGTTATAAATGCATACCCATATCTATAATCACAGCGACATGTCGTATCCGTGTCAGTTGAACCATCGCTGTAAATTGTTTGTCCTACTTCGCTGCATTTTGATTTGACAAATTCACATTCGTCACTTGAATTAGACCAAAATCGTAAAGGCTGATACGTGTTTGAGGGGCAATTGATGCCACGCCTACGTGAAGCAATAACATATTTCTTACCTTAAAAAAATATCAATATTTCATAATTCAGCTGCGTCATATAGAAATTGACCTTATGCAAATGAATATCAATACATCTGTTAAACTATTTCGTGTTGACAAAATCTCTATGCAAAGTCTGTAACTGTTTGAATATTGAGTTGACATAAAATCCCTACAAACAGACCAAAATTTATCTGTGATTTCGTACTTGAATGTTCAAAAACCAATCAAAGTATTATGCATGTGCATGTCTACGTGTACTTGCATCATGTCGATTTGTATCCTACGCAGCTCAATTATTTCACCTAAAGGGGAAATTTCACAGCTACACAGTTTTAACCGTTATATTTCAACAGGTTATTTTCTCTGTTGTCGTATATATATGCTATGTAAAAGATTCAGATGTACTGGAACTGTTATGCAGAAAACGCGACAAATATCAACTATTGCCTTATGCTTTTAGCCTTTTGTAACTTTTAGAAAATATTTTAAAAAACATAAACCAAAACCGTTTTTAATTACCTTGTTTCAAAAAATCCGCATTTTCTGTACATTGTTCTGTAAAATTGTGATTCTTTGTGGTATATTGACCTAATTGATTAAATAAACATTGGTATCTTGTCGTAGTTGATCCATTGCAAATTATTTGCGCTCGCAATCTCCATTCCAATGTGTGGGAATATGGACAGTTGAAGACATAACACATACAGGTATTTAAACAAAGCAATAACTAAAAACGAAATTAATATAGCTAAAATTCATTTGAATGCTATCACAGCTTAAAGAAAACAAGTACAAATAAAATCAAATAGTCAACAATTCAACACTAAAGTTTGAAATAAATAACGTTTAACAGATTTTGTATTAAGTTTTATTCACTTGATTAGAAATATCATATTACAGCTGAAATAAGCCAAATATGATTTGAAATATAACGTGAACTTCAGTTTATTATGATGTACGGTGGATTCATTTATTTTCGTGGATACCAATTTTCGTGGATTAAGGAAAAAACGTATTTTTTATGAATATTTGCTTTCTAGGCTTTACCATAATCTGCATTAAAGCATACAGAAAATTTTACTTTGTGAAACATTTAAATGTGTACTTTACCTTTTCCCACGAAATCCACGAGTATGCCTCGAGTAATAATGAATTCATAGCATGTATGCTCTTCCATTTCAATATAAGTTGATACATTTGTGTGACGCGCAGTTTATACTTCGTTTGTGGTGTTTTTGTGTACTGTCGTAAATTCTTGGGAGGTGGCCGTTGTTATTCTGTGGTTTATATGTTGTAATGTAATATTATATTATTTATTTATGTATTTCTCTGTCCTTGCGTTTATGTGTACTGTATTCCTGCCTCGGAATGTTGTCATTTTAGCGGTATTTTTAACATTGCAATATAAGCGGGAGGTTTGGCTAGACATAAAACCAGGTTCAACCAACTATTTTTTTCTTAAAATGTCCTGTACCAAGTCAGGAATATGGCATTTGTTATTAAATAGTCCGTTTCTATGTATGTTGGCGTTTGTTTTGTTGCAGTTCAGTGTTTCTGTTGTTCCGTTGTTTTCCTCTTATAGTTGATGTGTTTCCCTCGGTTTTAGTTTGTCACCCGGATTTGTTTTCGCTTAATCGATTTATGACTATTGAACAGCGGTATACTACTGTTGCCTTTAGTTTTTCATCTGTATAAGTAATTGCAAAAAAAAACCTAAAAGATAAGTATGGCTTTCTTAACCTTTTAATTTGAATGTTTTATTTTCTTTTCAAATTCTTTGTCAAAAAAATCGTGATATAAGTCGATTATTGTATATAAATAAGGAAAACATATTTCATTGTCATTTGATACATTTGATCCGCTTATTTACTGCTCACGCACTTAATATTATCTTGCTAGAAAACCGGGATGCGTGACAATCGGATAGTATTTATTAGACGTTTTTGAAAAGTCGTCTATTTTTTTTTTCTCTATTTCTTCAAATTTAGCTTAACTCTTTTTGAGAATTGGTCAATTTTATTTCGCGCAAAAGGGAGGTAATTCAATTGAAGGAATTATCGAAATAAATAAATGTTTTAAGTAGTATATAAAATATTATAAACCATAATTATATAAGGTAAATGTAACTACATGTGAATGTGACCATTGCAATCCATGAGTTAACTCTAAATCAAACTGTTACCTGTAAGGTATATTATTTTTCGAAAATATGTATTAAGCAATCCTTTGTCAATAACGTATTTCACCGAATAAAAAGGTCAAGGTAAGATTTAGTATGTTTTAAACAGTATGAAGTATTGGAAGATAAAAGTAACATTGCGTACACATGTTGCTACAATCTAATTAAAGCTGTTAAACTATAAATACCAAACTGAATATAATTGTTCCTGTTGGTTTCTGGTCCATAATCATACTTTGTTTGTAGACCTTCTTGAATTGTTCATATCTACATAGCATACAATATCAAACTTAAATCTTTGTAAGACAAAAAAAAAACATTATTAATCGAATTAATGGCAATGGCTATTGTCAATTATGTCATGAAAATGAATTATTGTTGTAAGTTTATGTACAATGATTGTATGATAGTGACTTTTCTAAATTGGTAATTGGGACACTTATACAAAAATTCAATCATACTAAAATCATAAACAATACTTATTTAAGGATTGGATTTGTGAATTCAGAGCGTACAAGTACCGAAATAACCTTCCGCTTAAAATTTTAGACTCGAATAACACTATGTCTAACATGACTCTAATGCGCCAAGATTATTCATGAACATTCGCGGAATTTTCTTATCATAATTTACACATTTTTTTCGAGTTTTGTTATGCATTATTATAGGAATAACTGTTCTGATTTTTTTATTTTTTTTATTTCACTTTTAAAACAGCAAAATTGACACAATGTTTGTACATAGGTTACAAAACATGTTAATATACGTTGGAGGTAAACGAGCAGCGATACATGTATTTACATCTGTCAGTCTGCGCTCAATATAGATCCACCTGTTGTTCATTAAAGGAAAACAGGACGTCAAATTAAAATTGAGGATTATTAATATATTTTTGATTATAACAAAATGAGTTATTTGAAAACCAGAAATATTGCGAAATATCACAAGAAAGTAACCTTGTCTATTATGAATCAGGTCATTGCATGTTTTAGTAGATAACTTGATATTTGACCTTGTCAAGTTAGTGTAACGACTACTAAATATATCCATACCCCTAATGCGTGAATAATGTAGTGTGTTCATGTACATGAAGTACAGTGTTTGTTATTAATCCTGTAATCAAAATGCATAATATCAATAAGGATTAACAAACCAACATTATACATCACTTTATGTATATAATTATTTAGGTTTCTTGTTTACTTAGCATTTAAGCTATGTTAGTATGGCAACAGCAGTTGCTAAAGGTGCTAGTAGATCGTTGGGTTTGTTGATATCTAAATGTAAAGCTAACGGTGGTTTTCAATATTGTACATTTACAAAATCGTTTGATATGCTTCTATGGTCTGTAATAGATTGTGATGCCTCTATTTGGGGAACACGTGATTTTTCATGTACAAATAGTGTAAAAATAGAGCCATGCGTTTTTTCATGGGTGTAGGAAAATACACAACTTATATATCTTTGTATGGTGACATTGGCTGGATGCCATGCAAAATTAAATAGTGGACTAGTGTTTTTAGAAATTTGACACGATTGAATAAAATGAATGATGATAGAGTAAATAAAAAGTGTATATATGGGGTAACACATGTAAAAGAGTAAAAAATTGGCATTTTAGAGTAAAAAATAAGTTTAAAGAACTTGGAATGGAATATTTGTGTAATGATGCTATTTTAAACAAGGATTTAATAAAGAGTATCGAAAATATATCTTTTGAAAAATTTAAGGAAGAAAGGTTAGATAAAATTATGTCAAATGATAAAAATAAATTACGTACATATAGAATGTTCACAAATGTATATGGTGTAGAAATTTATTTGACTTTTTGATATACCTGGTAGATACAGGAGTGCTTTAGCAAAATTTATATGTGGTGTAGCACCCATCAGAATTGAAACTGGTCGTTATGAAAATATTGATATTGAAAATAGAGTTTGTTTTAACTGTACTGATGACGTTGAAGATGAAAAACATGTTTTGTTAAACTGCCCTGTACATTCAGATATTCGTAATGTTATTTTTAATCATGCCTAGTATTATTGATGAGAAAGTTTATTACATATGTCTGATAATGAAAAATTGTTTTACAGTCTCTCTTAACTCTTTATAGAGTGACTCTTGTTATTAACTTGTGTATTAATATGTAACAAGTGGTGAGACTTTAATAAAGTATTTATGTTTTCTTGTCTTGCCTGTTATAACTACATTAAGAAATTAAAACTTATTTCTTACCTTATGTACTACATGTTGCCGTTAAAATATTACGACGAATGATCAATGTGTGATCATTCGAGAGGAATGGATATTATATTTCAATGAGATGAATAGATACACTATAAGAATTAAAAAAAACATTTGTTCAGAGAACAATTGAAGGTCTTTCACAAAACATTTCATAATAATTGATAAGCTACTTCCCGTTTACTGAAAGTTACTATTTGCGCTTAATCATAGGTTTTATACTGATTAAAAACATATATGGTTTCTATATACTTTTGACTTAAATATTGGAGATTATTTGCTACTTGTAATTTCTGGTTTCATAGGATAGCTTACTTTCCATTGATTCCGAAAATATACGATTTCTATATACTTTTTTTCCAAATAAAGGAGATAATTAGCTAATTCCGGTTTACAGAGGGTGACTTCAGGTTGCACTTTGTAATTACAGCTGTTTCTCAAACCACGCCTATTTTGGGGAGATATATAATATTCATAGATAATTAATTTTGTTTATGTACTGGTTCCCGCTTATGATTTCTATGTTTCATCTCGTAGAGACATAACTTGGGAATGTTACCAGTAAATATACATATTCATAGTGATCAAGTTAAGATCTGTGGAAATCTTTAAATCAAGGAAAGGGTACCATAGAATTTTAATGTAAGTTTAAACTCATAGAAGTTCGGGGCATATAAACGTTGAAAATATGCCGCACAGCCCTATATTTTGACCTTAAAAAAAAAGTAGCGCATATGAACTTTCCATTCTAGGATATCATTTTTATCAAAACTTCATAGTAAAAGTAGTACAGTTTTTGCCGTGAAAGGAGTTCCTATGGGAAATTGCATTGTTGATATTTATAATCTTCCATCACTGTATTGGATACCTAAACTACATACGTGTCTTTACAAACAACGGTATATTGCTGGGTCTTCCAAGTGCTCCACGAAACCTCTTTCTAAATTATTAACATCTATTTTATCAGCAATCAAAGCCGGGCTACAAAGTTATTGTAAAACTGCCTATTCTAGAGGTTGCGTGAATCAGATGTGGAAACTAAAATATTCCAAAGATCGTTTAGAGTACATACAATCTAAGACTCTCTCATCTTGAAAAAGTAATAAAACATTTGACTTTTCTACACTGTACACAAGTATTCCCCATTCCAAACTAAAAGACAAATTGAAAGAGTTGGTATTACTTTGTTTCATTAAAAAGAATGGCGAACGTAGATACAAGTATCTTGTCTTGGGGAGGGATGAATCCTACTTTGTAAAGAATCACTCTGATTCAAACAAAAAAATCTCTGAAACTGACATTATCAAGATGCTTGATTTCTTGATTAACAACATATTTGTTACGTTTGGAGGACGTGTTTTTCAACAGACTGTCGGAATTCCAATGGGAACTAATTGTGCCCCTCTTCTTGCCGACTTGTTTCTTTATTATTATGAGGCAGACTTCATACAGGAACTTCTTAGGAAGAAAGATAAGAAGTTAGCAATATCCTTTAACTTTGAGTTCCGCTATATAGATGATGTTCTCTCATTGAATAATACAAAATTTGGTGACTATGTTGAACGAATCTATCCCATCGAACTAGAGATAAAGGATACTACAGATACAGTTAAGTCTGCCTCATATCTTGACTTACATCTAGAAATTGACAATGAGGGTCGGTTGAAAACAAAACTTTACGACAAAAGAGATGATTTCAGCTTTCCAATTGTGAACTTTCCATTTCTATGTAGCAACATTCCAGCAGCGCCTGCATACGGAGTATATATCTCCAAATTGATACGATATTCCCGGGCTTGTATTTCCTATCATGATTTCCTTGATAGAGGATTGCTGCTCACAAGGAAGCTATTAAACCAACAATTCCAAATGGTGAAGTTGAAATCATCCCTTCGTAAATTTTACGGACGCCATCACGAGTTGGTTGACCGTTACGGAATAACCGTTTCACAGATGATATCGAATATGTTCCGTATGTCGTAACTACAATACCCTTCCCTTTTCACGAATGTGACCTACCGAATTAGACTATTTACCGGATTTGTAATAACATAAGCCACACGACGGGTGCCACATGTGGAGCAGGATTTGCTTACCCTTCCGGAGGACCTGAGATCACCCCAGTTTTTGGTGGGGTTCGTGTTGCTTAGTCTTTAGTTTTCTATGTTGTGTCATCTGTTCTACTATTTGTCTGTTTGTCTTTTTATTTGGCCATGTAATGGCGTTGTCAGTTTGTTTTCGATCTATGAGTTTGACTGTCCCTCTAGTATCTTTCGTCCCTCTTTTACAAAACTGCAACCTTTATTGGGTAAAAAAAAGGGAACATACAGAATTTCACTAAATCTGGTTTATCTCAGAGATTTTAATGAAATTAACTTAAATATGAAGTTTTATAAATATTTCATGAAGATTGAGAAAATGCTGGCCCTTAACTATGATGACTCAGCATAAATTCACAGTTTACAGTATACATAGTTTACTTAAAGCCCTAAATGCAAAATAAATTCATAATATATGTATATTATTAATGTAAATTGTTTAGAAGTGTTTATATTTACTCTTCGCAGTCAATGAAACTCATTGATCCTTCCTGAATATTATTGGTGGGATGATTTTATCCTGTCGATAACACAAAAGTAAGCCTTAGGACCTAAATGTGCTTTTTTGTGACTGCGGCATAAAAAAATACAAGCTAGAAATACAAAAATACCTCAATAAAACTTACAAGAGTGTGTTCTATCCTAACTATGCACTAAATATTCCATATTGTTATAAACAGCAGAAAAATTTAGGAAAGTTGAGGCCCGCGTGGCAAAAAACAGAGAAAAATGCCTACCCACTGGGTCATAAAAAAACAATTTGACTTGTAAATGCTATGACTTTATCATTTTAAAGGTCTTATGAGTAGAAACCAATAACTGTACTTGGAAGTTATGCAAAATCAGATGTTAGCAGTCATTTCTATAAAACTAAGTGAATTCATACATCAGACTGGTATCTTCATAAATACAACTTTTGCAAATATGGCTTTGTTTAAACACTTCTAGTTCAAATATAAGCTTAATCATGTTAGATATATGGTAAGAGATGACACTGTTGTGACAAGATTTCTAAACTGACCATTTGAGGCAGTAATTGTGAACTTTCATTGACAAATACGGCATACAGTAAGATGTAGATTGGAGACAGGAAGGATTGGAAACTTTATATAATCTTGAATGTTGGAATGATTAGCTGCTAAACATTACATTTATAGTGTTCTGAAATGCTTTCAATTTGTTATCAAAATAGTTTCAAACAGGTTCTAGACATTTTATGTCAGAAAACATGCTCATAGGGTAATCTGGCAATAATTAAAGTCTTGTTTTCAAATTCTTTAAAACATTGATACAGGGGTCGGGGTATAAAATGTACTGTAAAAGAAAACTTAGGGTATATGCAGTGATTTCTTTGAGGCTATAATTCTGATAAATACGTATTGTTGTGAGAAAAAGTGTTTTTAGAAAGTTTTCTATCGGAATAAATGTTAGTATAGTTTGCACTTTGTAAATACAGCTGTTTCTCAAACCACGCCTCTTTTGGGGAGATATATAATATTCATAGATAATTAATTTTGTTTATGTACTGGTTCCCGGATATGATTTCTATGTTTTATCTCGTAGAGACATAACTTGGGAATGTTACCAGTAAATATACATATTCATAGTGATCAAGTTAAAATCTGTTGAAATCCTTAATTCGAGGTAAGGGTACCATAGAATTTTAATTAAAGTTTAAACTCATAGATTTGATTTTGATTTTTTGTGTTTTAACGCCACTTTTAAGCACCGCTTTTGGGCTATTTCGTGGCGGCCAGTTTTTATTGGTGGAGGAAGCCGGAGTGCCCGGAGAAAACCACCGACCTACGATAGGAAAACTGACAATGCTAGTCAATTAAGATTGGAGTCGAGTGCACCCGCACGAGCGGGGTTCGAACTCACAACCTCAGTGTTGACTGGCTAGTGATTACAGTAGTAACTACTTAGACCACTCGGCCACCGAGGCCCCCTAAACTCATAGAAGTTCGGGGCATATAAACGTTGAAAATATGCCGGACAGCCTTATATTTTGACCTTTGAAAAAAATAGTAGTGCATATGAACTTTCCATTCTAGGATATAATTTATTTCAAAACTTCAAAGTAAAAGTGGTACAGTTTTAGACGTGAAAGTTGTTCCTATGGGAAATTGCATTGTTGATATTTACAAAAATGCAACCTTCGGGTGTCAATAAAAGTTTATTGTATGATGATTTTAAAAACATATAGTTTCTAAGTTTTTTCCCTTGAATTAGTGCAAAAATAGCTATTTTCGGTTTGCACAAGGTCACTTCCGGTTGACATTCTTTGAGGTCATGTGTCACTCAACTTTTTGCAAAAGACACTATGGCTTTATCGTGTACTAGATTGAAGTTATATTCGATTTATCATTAATTCAATATTTTAGGGGCAATAACTCCTATAAAATATTATCAAATCGCTTCAGACTGAATGTATCATTTCTTCGTCTCAACAACCTAAACATTTAGCATAAGTTCCTTCATATCTAGCTCTTGTAGTATAAGACAAGATGTACACACAAGCAAAGGGCAAAATTTAGAAAATGACCTTGACCTTTGACCTTGACACCATTTTCTTTTTGGTGGACCAAGGACCTCAAATCAAGATACCCTAGGTCTCTATCACATACGGTTAATGAGTTACATTTATATTTCACTCATGTCAAATACAAAAGGGGATGCACACACAAGAAAAACAGTGTTTTTGGAGATAACTCTTAAAAAGAATATTGTTCGGTTAAGCAGGGTAAAAATTTAAAGTGCATAAACTGTACAATAACATATACCAAATTTTTAAGCGAAATGTTGCAAAAAAAAGTTAACTCGTAAGAACAAAATTTTGCGGAAATATAGTGAGTTATTTGAAAACCAGAAATATTGCAAAATATCATCAAGAAAGTTACCTTATCTATCACGAATCTGG